AACATAATTGTACATTTGTCACTTCCAGACTTGACTATTGTGACGCTCTTTGTTGCAAGAAATATGTTTACAAATTACTGTAGAGTCTACACCACAGTGCCGATCATGTTAGGAAATAGTTAAAATAATAAAAATAATAATGTAGCGTGCTTTTCAATCACTGTGGCGAGGATAGCACAGGGTTTAACGGTTTAAGCTAAAGTCCAAAATGCGGGTTATACAAGCACATAAACCCGGTCTAAACCCGGTCTAAACCCGGTCTAAACCCGGTCTAAACCCGGTCTAAACCCGGTCTAAACCCGGTCTAAACTTGGTCTAAGAGGCTTCAGGGGCTTCAAACAAACTGAGCAATTCATTCTCAGAAGACTAAAAGGACATTGTCATATTAGAGACCGACAATCTCAGAATCAGAATCATTTTTATAGCCAAAAAAACATTTTCTAAAATATAAAAAATGTAAAAGGAAAATGAATGCTTTAAGACAAGGCTTTACATGTTCCTCTTTGAATTAGCGTATGGCTCTGTCAGGTAAGGACAAGAACTCTAACCACACAGGAAAGAGTGCGTTTAATATATCTTCACAAAAGAATAAATGAATAAATAATAAATAATTGTTGCTGTAGGAAGAGTCTAAGAAGTGGGGCTGCTCAGTGATATTTATGCATTACCTAAATTCCTGTGAACATCAGTTACTAAGATTTTAAATTTCTCCTGACTGAGATCAATAAAATCTTATCTTAATCTATTGTTTGATTTCAAAATCTGGTTTTGGCAGATCCACAAGAAAGAATATATATGTGACATGGCCTCTACAGACTTTTGGACAGATCCCGTGGTCTCGTTGGAGCATATGCAGCAGTGTGGACAGTGTGGCCACAGCACCATCTGCCAAACAGAACAAACGTAGGTGTACCTCCGTCTGCCTCCGTCTGCCACCGTCACATAAGCAGATATTTACACACAGCTATTAAAACAAGTCTGCTGGCCGCTAACTATGAACATCAACAAACAAGGCCACCCTCAAAATCTGCGATCCAAAAACATGTCACAATGTGGGGACGAGAGACAGTTTTCACCAGACGAGAGGCAAGATTGTGTGTCTATGTGATCCAGACAAGACACACGCTAATTCTCTGCTAACATTACATTTTTCTGCATAACTTTTTCACTTTGTCTGCATTTCTATCAAAACATTATGCATTGTTACATATATTACAAAGTATAAAGGACTCCACTGTAAAGGAGATTAAACAAGGTCAATTAAGACAATGAATCCAGAAAAAATACACACTCAGAATTTTAAATATATTAACATTATGTTGACATAAATCTGTAATTACTGTAAGTTCCACTGGCCAATTAGTTTCAAAGTGCTCAGTAGAAAAAGGATAAGATATTCCATAATTTATACATGGGAAATATTTCTGTTAATAGTTCTGTCCAACAAACTAGAAACTGACATTCAACGTCCCTGGTGTGGCGTAAATCAATTATTAAGACGTGGGTAATCTTTATTAATCCGTTGCTGCACAGATGCAGAGCAGGCTCCATGCTCAGTTAGTCACCTGAAGGATTAAACATTAAGGCCTGAATAAGTAGATTGACCTGTCCCGACACCGTCCTCCAAACCTGCACTGGACACTCAAGACCAAAACCAACACCTCTCCAGAAACAAGGCCACGTCAAAGGTCAGCTCTGTGGATACACTGCGTAAAGTGATGAGAAAGAAGTCAAAGAATGCTCAAATTTGGCTAAATATATCTCAATTTGAGCACATTTTGACGGCCTTAAAACAAGATTTGCCAATGGGACAAAGCAAAATTATCTAGTTTAAAAAATATCTGCAAGACATGTCTCCCTTGGAAGGAGAGAATAAAGAAAGAGAACCTGAAATAGTAGTAAGTAAGAAAGTAAGTAATGCTTATTGATATAGTGCATGCATTTTTACAGACCAAGGTCACCCAAAGCGCTTCACAATGTTCAGAGTTCAGATATTGTTTCATTCTCTCCACACACGGTGATGACGAAAGCGAGACGCCGAACACACTGGACCATCAAAGCCTCCAACCAACACCATCCATTCACTCTCTCATTTACATTCAGACTTTTTGTGCATGTTTTTAGTGGTAGGGGAAACCGGAGCACCTGGAGGAAACCTACACAGACACGGGGAGAACATGCAAACTCCACTCAGAAAGGCCCTGATCAAATACTGTGCATTGGTGCTGTTGCAGGACAGCAGGACATCTCCATGAACAAGCAGGTATAGCAAAAACACAACCACAAAAAGATGGAACAACATACCGTCAATAATTATACTTTTAATAATTGTTCTATAAAATATATGTGCAGCAATAATCTGTAATATTAGAATGTCCTTGATCTCCTCGAACACAAAAGTTGTAGACGCATTTCTGGGAAGGCCAATGTCAGGATGATGAGATTGGAGAAGGTGGTAATCTGAGAGTGAGTGGCTCCGCGGGGCTGAGAAGGACCACTGCAGTCTGTCTTTTCACAGAGCAGGACGTCAGCGGCTAAGAACAAGAAAAGCTAAAAACGCTGCTAGATATCGGTAAAGTTTATACTGTAGTTTGTCAGAAAGGTCAGAAATAGATGTCAGAATAATTAACATTGGGATTTGTTCATAAACTTTCCTCTAGCTGTGACAATGACATTAATATCTATAGCTTTTTTTACCGTTTAGCAAGTGCTAGTACAGAATTGTTTTTTTTTTTAATGTTCCCTTGAAATGTGCCCTTGTCTGAACTGACTACAAGAGCATCATTTACTTACTTTATACAGATACACATATAAGTGCAGATCCAGAAATGATTTTGGATTGGTATGGTGATAACATACCTATTATAGCTATTATAACTAGGTATAATTAACTGTTATAGTATTATATAAGACCATCTACTGGCTGATGGTAAGAGAGATTGTCATTGAGATTTTCACACATAAAAAAATTTGATGTCGTTAAAAAGATTAAATGACACAATGTATTGTGGGGAAATGTCAGTGTTGTATCACAAGTTACAGAACAGTAGGAATGAGGAGCACACAACGCAATATTTTAGAAATTAAATAAAATCTCTTTGTTTAGCTCAATAAAAGATGCAAAGTCTAAAAAACTGTATTTTAGTGCAAAACATATATATAATTGTATGTATACATCTGGATCCAGCTTGAAACACATTTTCTGTCATTCTAAGGATTGTTTTTTGTGCCTTCTGATAACAGTTTGTATCGAGCATCAACTCTACAATCAAACCGGATGAGGATTGGTTTAAGTTAGTCAATGTTTGCTTTCTTATTTTAATCAATGTGTGTCTTTGTGATGATTACACAGTAAATGCAAGTGTTGCTAATGTAAATAATGTATCAAAACTTAAGTAATGCATATTCATGTTTATCAATCTAACACATTTTCTAAGTAGGACATTTCCAACCAGATCTGTGTATTTGGTGGTGCCTGTGTTGTGAACTTGTTAGGTCTGTGAGGCCATGGTGACATGATGCTGCTGTGAAGAGGAGCCTCTGAAAGGACACAAGGGCCTTTATAACCGAAATGCCAAAGCTATAACCACGGAGACACACTTTAGCTCAAGTCGCCCGCTGTGCAACCTGACGACCACGGCATGCTCCAAAAAACAAGACTGCACAGGGTCTGAACACCAAAACACGTCCACAATTGCAGCTCATTGCAGTGACTAATTGTGTTATTACCTACAGTGGTGGAGCTGGAAACTGACAATTTGCCCGTAGTAATAGTTTTTTTTAGGAGCGCAATTTAGTGCAATTTAGTTCTATGCAATGCTTTGTTTCTAAATTATCAACCAATGGATTATGCACCAACTTATTTTACAAATCATTAGTGCACTGTAGAAATATGTTATTACCACACAAGGATCACACAATAAGAAAGAAATTGAAAGAGAATTTTGTGTTTATGTCGGATTTTAGCCATTACATTATCAAGAGCATGTTCCTTGTCCTTTCAGAGTGGAGTTTGGATGTTCTCCCCTTGTCATGCATATTTTTTCCTCAGGGTGCTCCGGTTTCCTTTACCACTAAAACAATAGTTGTAAAGCACTTTGGGAGACCTTGGACCATGAAATGTGCTATAAAATAACACTTATAATTTATTCTTATACTAATTCAAATTTGCCTCACTTATTCAAAAGCATATGACATGAACCTGACGTACATTAGAAGTCTAATTAGGTCTACAAACTCTGCATACTTTCAAGAAGCCTATTATCTTATGGTATCTATGAACATGCTTGAAAAGATGCTTGAGTTTTGTTGATAGGGTTCATCATCATAGTTTATAAAGCTAAAGGAATAAACCCTAACGAGGACAAATAATAGATTGTTGCTAACAGCTGCTCAATGAAAAATATCCTGGGAGCATCAGCACTAAGCTTTTCCAACTCTCCAAGTAACCCATGGGGTATATAGTAGTCTACCATTGACCCATTGGGTGTATTGTCATTTCGCATGATTCAATAAAAGGGTTGGGGGTTGACCTCATTGTGGATGCTCCTGATGTGATAAAGCCACTGAAGCACAAGTTTGGCATGTGGGGCACAGTTAGCCTTAGCTACTGTCCTGTAAATCCTGTTACACCAGCCTGTCAGCCTGTCTGCAAGAAGATTTAAGCAGCCCTCGATAACACCGCAGGCTACTTGATTAAGACAGCTTTAGAGAGCCTATTTGGCGGAATGAAAAAAAGAGTTGAAGCACTGTAAACATGCAGAATGACAAAGGAATTGTGTGGTTAGCCGTGGCTATGCTAACACAGGTCTGACAGACAGAGCAAGGCGCATGTTTGGACCCTGACAGCTGATAGAAACTGAGAGGGGGGGCGGGTTGGACCAGGAACAGCTGACAACAAGAAGGAAACACTGCAGCATCTTGGCAATATACCAGCACAACTTTATCGCAATGAAAACCACAATTATAAGTTATGCTAGCAGTTTAAACTCTATACATACCTTTGCTTTCCCGGCCTCTAGCTTCTTTTGTCTCTCCTCGTCTTCCATCTCTGCTGTTCCCGTGGCTGGAACACAGGAGAAATGGCTTCATATGAGAAGATCCAGAATCGCTGATTGCTCTGTGTCCTTGTGTGGCTCAAACTCGCTGTCAAATTCACGCCTCTGTTAGGAGCAGTCCGCCGCCATGTTTTCCACGTAAACATGAGACCGTCTGTGATGACGCAGAGCAGCGCCGACGTGGCCACGCCCCCAGCATTCCTCCTCAGCGGCGAACACGGACACTATCGGGACTACGCATGGATCTATCATAATAACGGACTACGCATGGATCTGGGACTACGCTATAATTAGTTAACGTTAGAAACGTAGAATATCCCATTGCTATATAATGTTTCAATGCAGAACCTCGGTTTAAAAAGGTTTAAATACTCCTAAACATGCTTTTAAGGATTATGTAAATTATAATTTTAATTTATACCATGATGTACTGTAAATATTACACTTGTTACTACGGTCTATGGTTCCATCTGATATAAATCTTGACTCGATAGTGATGCCATAATAAGGACGAAAAGGCTGAAGGAGATTACCCGGTTCGCAATATGTTCGACCTACAAAGGAGAGGTGTTGGTGAGCTGTGGTGCAGGTCTGTTTAGGTCAGTCTGCCCCAGGGCAAAACATTGACCCATAGACTCACAACAACATTTGTAAATGTGTAGTGCTGTTAAGCACGTTGAGTTTTGCAGGTATTATTATTATTATTATGAATTAATAATTTTACATTTCTTCAGAAATTAAGCAAATTGGAAGAAGAAAAACTGCTCCTTGCCTTGATTTTCCATAATAATGTCTTTCTGCTTCTGGTCATATGAGACAAAATGTGGAAAAGGTTTGGGGTCTGGATAAGTCCCTGTGCTTACTTCATACGTCTTTAAAATATACCACAGATATAGTATGCGATGATCTGCATACTCCTGCATACTACTCCTGCATACTACTCCTGCATACTCCTGCATACTCCTGCATACTCCTGCATACTCCTGCATACTCCTGCATACTCCTGCATTCTCCTGCATACTCCTGTCATACAAGTGCCTTAGAGAATTTCTTTAGGCTATATAGAAACATTGTGTTATATACTATAGGAATGTAATAAAATGAACTAATGTCTTAATTGGAGTGTAGCCTATACATCTTTGATAGCCCAAGAACAGGCTTGTTGACACTAATACGCAGACAAAACTGAAATGATTGTCTTTGGTCCCCAGAAACAAAGAGAGAGCGTCATCTGTCACCTACAGTCTCTCTCCCTAAAACCTTCAAACAAGGTCAGAAATCTAGGGGTAATACTGGACTCAGACTTAAATTTTAATAGCCACATCAAATCAGTAACATCAGCAGCTTTTTACCATCTAAAAAACATTGCCAGGATCAAAAACATAGTGTCTAAAGCAGACTTGGAGATTCTTATCCATGCATTTGTCTCCAGTAGGTTAGACTACTGCAATGGCCTGCTCACAGGTCTGTCCAAACAGGCTGTAAAACAGCTGCAGTACATTCAAAATGCAGCAGCTCGAGTCCTGACAAGAACCAGGAAGTACGACCATATTAGTCCGGTCCTCAGGTCTCTGCACTGGCTTCCTGTGGCTCAGAGAATAGACTTTAAAACAGCTCTGCTTGTGTACAAATCTCTCCATGGCCTCGCACCAAAATATATTAGTGACATGTTAGTCCCATATGAACCAGCCCGGACTCTGAGGAGCACAGGGACTGGACTCCTGTTAGTGCCCAGAGTCAGAACTAAACATGGGGAGGCTGCTTTTCAGATTCATGCTGCTAAAATCTGGAACAATCTTCCTGAAGATGTGAGACAGGCCTCCTCTCTGACAATGTTTAAAACCAGGTTAAAAACGGTGCTGTTTAGCTGTGCATACAACTGAGGGATTTTATATTTTTATCTTTCGTTTTAATGTTCTGTAATTATTTATGATTTTAATGCTATCTTGTTCAGCACTTTGAGTTGCCTTGTGTATGAATTGTGCTATACAAATAAACTTGCCTTGCCTTGCCTTGCCTAATAATTTTTGAGGGAATATTTAATATTTCAACAAAACATTATTCCAATAAAATTAATTCTCTAAAACTCACTGTTACTGAGAATTGATGTCTCATTTTCACATTGAATTATGTCTGATCATTCTGACTCAGGCACTGAAAAGGGGTCTCTTACCAAGTCTGCTCTGTTTCTATGGCAACATGGAGGATAACTCTGTGGCGCTTTTGACGCCTTTTTATTTAAACAATCCTTAAACGGCATCTCAAAGACAATGACGTCTTGTAGAAGATAAAACATTTGACCTCCCTTTCTTTGGGAAACATGAGAGCTACTTTTTCTAGGACAGATGGCCTTGATAGAAGACTGAGTGGACAATACTGAAGCCGACAGACTTCACTGGCCTTTTTAAGTGGAGTTTAAGGTGTTGTAAATGTATTTTCAAGTTTAATGACTACACAAACCATGCAACATTACATCTTTAAGCTGTATGTGTTATCATTTAAATTCATGTTTTTATAGAGTTTCTACAAAATACAAATAAGTTTATACAAAATCTTGAAATCCATCCATTGCCAATGAGTGCACAGAAACCTTGTCATGCTACTTTGTTTTGCTCTGAAATTACTAGTTTATTCAAATTTTCTCATTCTCATATGAATAATATTATGTATAATCTGTATACATGTATAATCTGAATGATGATTGTATTTGTTTATATGTTTTCCATGAAATGATACAAGTCTGGTTTAGTATTAAGTAAAGTTTGGGCTAGGGTTAGTGAGTTTACCTGTAGCAGAGGCAGAAGCAGTTGGCGACGAGGGTCTTGGTCTCCGACTGACCGGAGCTGAGCAGCTTATTGTCTGAGATATTTTGAATTCCACCCATCGTCTTTTGGACATTTTAATATTTGGTCGTCTCCAGCACGGCTAACAGAGCGCCACGGCATCTGCACAAACGGCGGATCATCTGAAAGTTTCGAACTGTTTATAAATTATTGATTGGCCGAGGGAGTAGTATGTCAGCAGTTACCCAAGCAACTTATTGGCCCGTTAGCTTGAACATATCCAAAGCAAAAGAGGCATTTATATGTATTAGAAATAAGTTAGATTATTCATTGAAAGCTGCAGGATAACTTTCAAACTACACAATCATTTAACTATTTAATGCAGTTAATGTGACTATAAGTTGTGGGCCAAAAACAGGTCTTAAGAACGTTTCTTTTTAGCCAATGTCACATCTTTAGACAAGATTTTTGGGGCAGAAAAGTTCAAATCAGTGGGCAACTCTCAGCCCAAAATGTCAAAAAGTGACTCACAAGGCTTTTTATTTTATATGAAAAATATTTCTATCAGTCTTTTTTATTATGATGAAGACAAACTTGTTCACAATTTTTACTTTTACAAGACTATTTCTCTTCAAACAAATAAAATGTGTTATTTTCTGGAACAAAAAGGTTGAAGGTGAACAACTATAAGTCAAATATAGCACATTTATCACCAGTCCATAAAACATTGGTCCATTTTGCGTTCACTTTGTGCAGAGCAACTGTTTCTGCAGCTGCTCTGAGCTGATTGAGATGTGGCCTTGTGCAACCCACACACTAAACAATGTTCCGTATGTTTTGACTGGTGAATAAATGTCAAATAAAATTAACCCTATGTCCACTAGTTATGTCCAAGGTTTTTTATATTTACGCAGAGGCTGGAGGGGTGATAATTTGACATTTCAATTTGCAGCATCAATCTTTTGCTGTGTTTTATGAATTGGATAAACTTCTATAACCCAAATGAATCAAATAATAAAGTTTTACACAGACAAAGGTCGCACAAAGCGCTTTACAATCTTTGTTTATTGTTTTATCAACGGGACCAGTGGTTCTCAAAGTGGCATTGAAGCAAAGTACTGTGTTATGATATGTTTATGTGGCCATTTGCGAGAGCCAGATCCATCAGACTTTTGAAGCTGTGCAGGGCAGAGCTTGATTAGTACTGGGATGTGAGACTTCCGGGAACAGCAGGTGCCACAGTGGGGCAGCTGTGGCTGTAAAGTGCCAAACTGTCCTTGTGTCCTTAGGCAAAACATTTCACACACATTGCCAAGAATGAGTCTGGGTTTGGAGGAGCCGATGGCAGGGGCAGCTGTGGCTACAGTAGTAGTTTATCACCACAGTGTATGGAGTGAAAGCATATTATTATTATCATGGGGGACCCTGACTAAAAGTTTTGGAACCCTCTGACATTGTCTAATGGTATAATCACATCTTTATGCATTATTCAACATTTGTGCTGTAATTTTTGCTCGTTGAACACAAAGTTGAAGAAAATTGCTCAACCTAATCATCCTTAGATTCTTCAAGAGCTGTCATCACATTACTATGCAATACTTACCCTGTCGAGTGTAAATACCCGCTGCAGAGAATGTGGCGATGTACTTCTGAGAACAACTTGAGACAATCAGAGAAACTGAACAAAACACAACAGGTCGAGAAGGTTTGAAGTGAAAGCTCATGAGCGTAATGAAATATCACAGTGTTGTGATTAAATATTCATGAGTGTTAGTGGTGGGCCTCATCAGCTGAAAGGCATTGGGTCATTCAGCTTTTCACTATGATAGCCACAACACATGGCCAATGTTCCCACTCAGACAAGAGCACTTGGTATTAATTATTAACGCTTGAGAAATTGATGGATGGAAATAAAGAAAATAAAAGGGGAAAAAACTCATGTGTGTAAATATAAAATATAAAACAAATACAACTACAAAAAATAAAAAATAAGTGTATGCATTTACATGGTGTCGCCAACATTTTTCACCCAGATAGCCACTTTCCGGAGACGATAAAAGCAGAGAGCTACTCCTTTTAGCGGCACTGGGAAAGGTTTGGTGATATATTTTTGTGAACAAGCCTGATATTGGGTACAGCCATTATTCATCATCGCATATTTGTTACTAGTGCATTTACAGTAATAAATAACCATAATGAAAAATACAATCTGAAACCCCTGCTCTATAGAAAACAAATACAGGCGTGGAGCAAAAAAACATTACCTTCTCAATATGTGTTTCATTTATTTTCAAATTAAAGTAAATGATGATGTTTGGGATAAAAAAGGCAAACAGACATAGGCAGCAAGAGATGGGAAAAAATAACTAAGCTCTTGTGTAAAAAAGTAGAAGCTCCTTGAATATCCTTCCTAACCCTAACCAAAGATTTCCAACCCTTTGCTGCCATCTACCGCTCCCATGGACTGGTCCCATAGCATGGATCTTGGTCCCGGAGGAATTATCGCGAGATTATGTGAAGTTTCGCTTTTGGACTGTGCAGCTCTGTATAAAATCCTCCTGGCAAAAACATGAGACACTAATATTCACTCTACTGACCTTCTTTGGTAAGTGAAAAACAAAACAACTTTAGCCATATTCAAGCTAAACTTAACGGGTGTCATAATGCTAATCATAGGGCGTTTATTCAAAGATAAAGATACATGCGGAAGTCGTACAGTCTATGGTAGATTCACATGATCGTTTGAGCCTCGACGCTTTTGCAGTATTTGTGCACGTAAAAAAAATAATTACAGCATAAAACATTTTTAAAAACCCATAACAAATATTTACACCATTAAAGTTATTTATTCCTGGACATACAATCAGATACAGCACGCATTATACTAGATTTAACCTTCCTAGCACATTTTTGCTGTGTATTTATCATAGACTGTATACAGTACTTCTGCATTTATATTTATTATATCACAATGCAATGCATATTGAGAAACATATATTGCCATGCCATATCTTAACTGTTATATTGAATCAGCCCATAGTCTATCTCTTATCATATTATATTGTAAACTGTATAACTTACTCTCACTTGTTTCTTCCAGAGCTTTGATGGATGCCGTTCCTTTTGTTCTGAAAATGGCATCAGGGGTCAGAGCTCTTCTCCATCGAGCATCTTTTGGCTTCACTGCAGTACAAAGAACACCATATTGTTTTTCAAGGCAGATGTGCAATGTTACTTCCACAAGCCAAGACCCCAAACAAGACCCCAAACAAGACCCCAAACAGACCGAGAATGAATCGCTGCTGGAAAACCTCAATCTCATGGGCGTTGATATCAAATTGGCTCGTCAACGGCAGCCTGGAGTGCTCCGCAAAATCTTCACAAATGAACAAGGCGTCCAGAAGTTTCTTCAAGGCAAAGGTGCGAGCCAGAAAGTGATCGCAAGTGTCATAACACGCTACCCACGTTCCATCACACGCACCTTTGATCACCTGGAGAAGCGATGGGAGTTATGGAGGAATATTTTTAAATCTGATGAGGAAATTGTAAGCATCCTGGATAGATCTCCTGAGTCATTTTTTAGATCAAGCGACAACGATAACTTGAAGAAAAACATTGCTTTTCTATCTTCTCTTGGACTGGACTCCAAAGACCTACACAGACTCCTGACCACAGCACCGCGGACATTTTCCAATAGTGTAGAACTCAACAAACAGATGGTAGAGTTTTTAGAGGACATCTGTGCCAAACTCGGAGGGGACAACTCAGAACAATTTGCCAAAGAAGTCATCTCAAAAAATCCATATATTTTAATCCGAAGTATCAAAAGAGTCAAAACTAATATCAGTCAGCTGAAAAGATACCTTCAAATGAAAGATCAAGAGCTTTTGGTTTTGCTTCAAGGCCCAGGGGCAGAGATACTAGATCTGTCGAGTGAATATCTGAAGAAAAACTTTACTAATCTTCAACAAACAATGCTTTTGCTTGGGTCTAAAAAAGCTGATATTAAAAAATTGATCACACAGTATCCCATGGTTTTGTACATTGGGCCTGAGACTCTGACCCGAAAACTGAACTGTCTGGCAAAAGAAGGAATAAGCATGAGTCAGATCGCGGAAAAGCCTAAGGTGTTGGACTACAGCACAGAGACCATTCTGGGCAAAATAAACGAGCTAAAAAAGGTTGGATACGACTTCCAGTTTAATGGCATCAGCGTTTTAGACTTGAGCCGAAAGAGGTTTGATGCAAAGATAGAGAAACTTTCATCTCCTCCACCAGAGGAGAGTGTCTGACAAGTGAAATTATGGAAAACCTTTTTGTCTTGAACATATCTTTTGCATCACATGTATTCACAGTAAATTGATGTCACGCTTTTCAAATAACACATCCTTGCAATCAAGTCAGTAGCTAAAAAGTTTCAATAAAAGCCAGAATCTTGTCTCATTGTATGCGTCTGCTTCTTTTCACGTGCCTTTCAGAAAGAGTCTTGCAAATTAAACACATCTATCAGACTACAAAGGCTGTCTTTATCTTATTAGAAAACATGTTGCATTATGCATACTTGTAAGACATAGCCCTGTGGATTGACTCTTTGGGCTGAGAGCTGATTGTCTGAGTGAGGGTGGTCCTTTCTTTGTTCCGATCTACTTATGTGACAGAGAATAAAAAATACATGCATTTGAAACTTAAAGATTGAACCAAGCTGTTTTAGATCCAACAACTAGTTTCATACATTCATTATTTGTGGTGTGAAAGTTTGGTATCCCAGCTTTAGTGAGGGAAACAGAAACTGAAATGCAAAATGCGGAACCTCATTACGCTCAGTTGTTCCCTGCGGTCCTGTTTGAAGAGCGCACACTCAAACTCATGCCGTACATGCATCTGCTGTGTTTTCAGCTAAACACAAGTGTCAAGCCTATTTCTACAGCTTATTGAGATTTAACATTATTTTTTTAGTTTTTCGCAAGTATTTTGCGTTTTATCCAAAGTCACGCATGTCATAGAATACACACTTTATTTTATCTAAGTTTGCAATTTCGCATTTCGGAAAGACACTTGTTATTGGTCGTGTCTTACCCATTGTCTACTTACTTAATTGGTGAGTGGGCTTTTGTTATAACGTGGCTTTTGAATATTAATACATGGTTTCTCGTTGTATATTGTGTCAGTTTTAGTATTATCATGTCTTTCATTCATTAAATAATATGCTTGTGCTGTACTTTATTGGCTTAAGGGGATTTATCGAAAACAAAATGGACAACACTGCAGCGGAAACTCAGGCTGTCAGTACAACAAAGGCAGCATCTGTGAAGGGTGAAGCCCAAATCAAACCACAGTAAGTAATAGTTTTCATGCATTTTTGTTGAAGTGAACCTCAAAAGATGCTGTTCTGTGAAGTATACAACATCATGGTCAGTCAAAGGCTTAACTCTTGTCTTTTTACTCATCTCGTTGTGAATGATTAGCACATTACTGTTATTCATTTGTTCTAATCTCATTCTGCATTTTTTCTTCCCTCTTTCCATAGATTTCTTGCCACTAAAGATGCATTTCATGGGTTTGTGGACTCGAACTGGAAATCAAATGGACCCATCAATGGTGGTGAAAAGGAAGATGCAGAGGTGGCACCTGTGGAGGAACCTGAAGCTAAGAAGCCAAAGTTAGAGACGGAGGATGGTAAAAGAGAGAAACTGGATAAAAAACAGTGGCGCGGACAGAACAAGTCCAGACCTCACACCAAGCCAACCGACTATGATGAAAAACGCCTCTGTCTCTCCGTCCTTAAGGTATAAATTAAATGCTGTACTATCTTTACAGTATGATGATAGTTCATAATCACCACTTCTTTTGTTGTAAAGGCGGACAAACAGTGCCATTATGGAGAAAGATGCCGTTTCTACCATGATATTGGCGAATACATGAAGACAAAACCCGCTGATATCGGAGACAAGTGCTATCTCCATGACACGTTTGGAAAGTGCCCTTACACGGTCTCGTGCCGCTTTGCTATGGCTCACACAACCCCAGACTTTAAAACGGTAGAAAAGGAAGATCTCGTCAAAGAGTTTGAGGGAAGAATTGTTGTGAAGAACATTTTGGGTAAAGATCTTCAAAACAGTCTGAGGAAACGCTCCGTGAAATTCCCCAAGTCGGATGAGTATCTCAAAGTCCTGGCAAAACAAAAGGAGAAAAGAGAACAACAAGAAAATGGTGAATAACTTTACTATATTTTTCTTAAACGATAATTTATTTTTACATATTTCTGGAGCCAACATTGTCTATATTTGTTATTTTGTTTGCGACAGGTTCAGCAAAAGCATCTACAGATAACATTGAAGAGGTTCAACAAGAATCTACAGATCCAGAAACGCAAGTAGGGATCGAGGAAATACTCCAAATATATATTGTGTGTTATAATATTATACATTTTCACAGGTAAACACAGAGAAAAAGACTGAAGTGAAGACTGTTGGCCCATTAACGGATTCAGACATCGTCAAACTGAGACCAAATGAAAAGAAGCAGGTAAATCCTAGTCTTCAGAATGAGCTCTTCGTATAGTGACTGTATATTAATCTTGGTGCATGTGTTTTAAGGTGGACTTTAAAGACAAACTCTACCTGGCACCCCTCACGACGGTACGTGTCCCTTGTGCTTCTGCTCTTTTCTCTGGTCATTTATCTTTGATACACTGTTTTTTCTTTTTTTATAGTGTGGAAATTTGCCGTTCAGACGCGTTTGCAAGCGTTTTGGAGCCGACATCACGTGTGGAGAGATGGCCATGTGTACCAACCTGCTGCAGGGACAGCAGTCTGAGTGGGCGCTGCTTAAGAGGCACGAATCTGAAGATGTTTTTGGAGTTCAGGTGAGTTACGGGTTTTTAAATAATCAATGTTTTGGCTTCTGAAACGTCATCAAATGTTGCGTTTATCTGCAGCTGGAGGGTTGTTTCCCAGACACAATGACAAGGTGCGCAGAGCTCATCAACAATAACATCGAGGTGGACTTTGTTGACATAAACTCTGGATGTCCCATTGATCTTGTTTACAAAAAGGTACTAAATATAGTCTGAGTTACAGGAATAATCTGCTTATTTTATTTATTTTGTATTTGTTGTCTCTTTTGTAGGGAGGTGGATGTGGTCTGATGACTCGAACCAGGAAATTTGAAGAAATAGTCAGGGGAATGAACTATGTGAGTAATAATCAATCATATCAATTCCAATTTGGACCGCAGTGCGCAATTTTGGATTATCAAAATAAATCAGTTCATAAATCAATTCATTCGGTCACTCTTTAGTTTAGTCTGCACTAATTAAGAAGAAGATGTACTTTATTGATCTCAACAGTGGAGACTGATGAATACACATGTACACATCAAGGCATGCAGAGTACTATTACTTCCATGATCCTAATAGGCAAAGTGGGGTAAAGTGTCTTGCCCAAGGACACAGCAGACATCAGTGAGTCTGTGGAGAAGGTCTCACGGTGCTACTTTGTGTATAATTTATGGTCAATTAATTACCTCTGAATTGGTATGGGTTAGGTTAGAGTTAGGTTAGAGTTAGGGTACACTAATTACACTGGGTAACAAAAAAATATTTTTTGAAAATAGTCCAGGGTTTTCAGCTGAATTAGGCTAATGTTGATGCTCTGAGTCCGAAAATGACCTTGGTTTTGCTCAATCAGGTCAGAATTTTTTGCTACAGAAAAAACATTTTTAATCGATTTTGCGTAAAAAACAAATTTCTGTGGATCATCAGCTGAGAAACCCTTGACGTTTTTTCCGTTTTCAAGAAAATAAAAGAAATCAAGAAATAAAAGTCAATGTATCCAAAGTCATTCCGTTTTTATTTACTCCATCAAATTTGATAAGCAGAATTCATAATAACGTAGACGTACATAATCCGTAACACTATGGCTGTATCTCAAAAAGATGACCTGATAGAGCAAAATGCATGTGATATTCGGACTCAGAACACCAACCTTAGTCTGAATCAGTTGAGAAACCCCTGACCATTTTTTGGCTGTCAACTTGTGTTATGTTTGAATTAGAGGGAGCTAATCCAAAGTGTTAGCATACATTCTTTCCATTAACAAGCCTTCAGTCATGATCTGATTGATTTTAAAATGTATTTCAAAAACCTTTAACGTATTCTCTGGTGTCAAAAGGTCCTAGATGCCCCCCTTACGGTGAAGATAAGAACCGGCGTTCAGGAGAAGACCAACATTGCTCACAAAATCATCCCAGAATTCAAGAAATGGGGCGTCTCCATGATCACTGTGCGTTTTTACTGATGCAACATGCAACTCTCTCTGATATTGAAAGAATTGTTTGCAATCAACAGTTACATGGTCGATCAAGAGAACAACGCTACACAAAGTTGGCCGACTGGGACTACATCAGCAGCTGCGCGGAGTTGGCCAGCCCTGTGCCTCTTTTCGGTATGCTGGCCGTTATCCTACTCTGATCTACGTTATCCACAAAACAATTTTAGGTGATACTTTGAGCTGTTTGCAGGTAATGGAGACGTCCTGTCCTATGAAGATGCCATGAAAGCGAGAGAAACTGGCGTCTCTGGAATCATGATCGCAAGGTTCTTTCAAATTCTTATCATATCTGGAGGGTTTTCTGCAATGTTGATTTTACAGTGAAATGTGGTTTTTTGTTTTTACAGGGGAGCTCTGATTAAGCCGTGGATTTTCACTGAGATTAAGGAGAGCAGACATTGGGATATTTCGTCCGCCGAGCGCCTGGACATCCTCAGGGACTTCTCCAACTATGGCCTGGAGCACTGGGGCTCAGACACCCGTGGAGTAGAGAAGACACGCACTTTTATGTTGGAGTGGCTCTCCTTTATGTGCAGGTAACATTGTGTGTGTGTGTATCTATAGAGAAAAGGCTGGTGTTTATAGGCCTGGGACCATGATTACTGTGTTGGCTTCTAAACAATCATGTCCTCTTTTTAGTATTCGCTTTCTGACTCACAACATCAAACAGAACGTGTGGCCGTAGATCCATTTCCAGTCGTTTATTGTTCAAGATCCTTTAAATAGTCAAGTCTTTGTCCCGGCCTCTTTAGCTCTAAACAAATAATATTAAGACATGTATTTTAAATTCATGGTGAGTAAATAATGAATTACATTTCAGGATGTTTTTAAATTAATTTCTTAAGTTTTTACACACTTTAATACAAACACAATTATGGCCCTAATGATTAGATTTCAAATAAAACAATCAATGGACGATGGTTGAGATATTATGGAGGTGCAGCATGTCATGAATCCGTCTTCAAAGCTGGGGAACCTAACTGCTTCCCCCTCCTCAAAAATACATTTAGTTTGTCCTAACAGAAAGAGACGTGTAAAAAGTGAAATGTTATGAGAAAGTCAGGCCACAGCGATTTTTATCTTGTGAGTCACTATTTGACACTTTGGGCTCTGAGCTGATTGGCTGAATGAGGCTGATTCTCTTTATCAGCTTTTTGGGAAATTCTGATCTAAAGATGTGAAAAAAGGCAAAAAAAAACACAAAAAACTGTTGGTTGGATATTATTATATCGTTACAATGGAAGTGCTTTGAAAGTTTCGTACCGTTTTATGTAGAGATGAGGTCCGCACAGATTTTAGCTCCCAAATATTGATCGTGAGATGTGAACAGGCATCAAAGCTGGGCAGGTTTATCTCTGTTTTCGTGAACTCTTTCTGGGTGTGAATCTTTTTGTACAAAGGTTTGGGATGTGTGTGTTTTTCTTCGCTGAAAGTTAAGTATCCCGGTTTAAATACTACGATTACTGTGATCAACACTTGTGAACTTGTCATTGTGCTTTGGTGTGCAATGACAGGCAATAACGGCCATTACTGTGTCTTGTTTTAGATACATCCCGGTCGGTCTGTTGGAGAGAGTGCCTCAGAAGATCAACGAGCGGCCTCCGTATTACATGGGACGGAACTATCTGGAGACTTTGATGGCAAGTCAAAATGTGGGCGACTGGGTGAGGATCAGGTAAGAACAAAATACAGAATCTCTCTCATAGTTTCTTAAGACTTAAGTCGCTAACTTTGTTTTGTTTTTTACAGTGAAATGCTGCTTGGACCAGTTCCCAAGAATTTCAACTTTCTTCCCAAACACAAAGCAAATGCCTACAAGTGAAAAATGCCCTAATTTATCTAATATATACATTATATTTCATTTGTATATGTTTTCATTTCTATGTGAATAATTATTAAATACTTATTTGGACCTTTTGGATCTAATAGTTGTATGATTTAAATCTGGCTTTAAGACATTTGTGAAATCGGACAATAAAGCCTTTTGTTTGAAAGTGTGAATTATTTCATTTTTCTAACCTTTTTTTTACTAGGGCGGCACAGTGGTTAGCACTTGCTTCTCAGCAAGAAGGTCCTGGGTTTGCATGTTCTGCCTGTGTCTTCGTAGGTTTTCTCCGGGTGCTCCAGTTTCCCCTACCACATGTACAATAGGGTCTGGCATGTGCCTCCTGTACTGGCCCCGCTCCCGTCTCTGTGTGAGTCAGAGACAAATGCCCACAAAGTAAACCGGTTTGTGACGCTGGTCTATGAAAGGAGATTTATAAATAAAGATTACTTCCTTTTTTTTTTTTACTAGGAAAGTCCTCTTTTTCAAGGGAATCAAATTACATTTAACTCACAAAATAATTGTTACATCTTTTGTGGGAATGAGCTACTCTATGTCACGGATATATAATATCTACAGAAGTTTACTTCCTACTGTTAGTATCAATGACAATGTTTTTTCCACACAAAAATTAACTTTCCATAAAATTGAATAAAACACATTTTTCCAGCAGAGAATTATTCAACATTTTTAACTTAATTTCTTCATGAAGGTGATTTTTTTTCTACTAACTGAATTTCTCATCCTAAATATTCCAACTTTACCAGTTTACTTTAACTGGTATTTATCCTGTAGTTATCTACAACATGATGTTTTAAGAGGTACTTCACTAAAAAGCCTCATTACATCAATTGAAAAACACATTCAGAGCTTTTTCATGGAACAACCTGATCCACTAATTCTTCTGGATTGGGACGGACGTTTGACACCAGTAATCCTTATCTAATTTGATCTTATATTTGAGAAATGGGATAATAAAAAAACTAAATATAAAGTTTTTTATTATCCTGTATCTTAAATACAATAAAGTCCTCTAGGCCAATTATAATATGCTGCCGCTATCATTGTCCTAGAAGCCTAGATTAAGACAAAGATCGAGTTAAAGCTATACTAATATATATTTTAAGTAAGCAGTGAATGTTTGTGTTTTAAATAAGGTCAGGTGCCTAAACAGAGCACTTTAATTACTGCTTTTACCCCTTGTATCGTTTTTGTTGATCGGTGCCACAGAGTCAGCAGTTTTTTATTTTGTTTTGTTTTTTCAGTGTATGTGTATTTTATATTACATTGTATCGTGCTCTTTATTCTGTCGGTGCACACAGAGTACCTTTTTTGCGAATGTATTCCAATGTAGTTTTTATACTGCACATGGCTAATAAAATGAATCTGAATCTGAATAAATTTTGATTATTTGATGTCTTTCTTTAGGTTTTTTTTCTTGCCAAGTTTATCCACAATTAAAACGTATACGTTGTAGTTACTTTAATGATGTGTTTTCCCTCTTGTCCAATGAGACGGGCACAAACTGACCTCAGGTGTGTCTCATTACTCATTTCTCCCACCAGTATTTGAGGCTGTGAGACTCCTACTCCCCCCTCTGTCAGCAGCAGCAGCAGCAGCAGCTCCTCTTCTCTTCTCCAGGCTCCAGGCTCCAGAGTCCTGTGTCCTTGCTCTGTCCCATGGCTCCCAGCGGGGTGGAGTTTGTGGCGGTCTTCACCTGGACTTTGCTGCTGGTTTTGGTCCAGGGCTGGGTTGAAATCAAGCCAGGGGATGTACAGGGCTTTTTTGAACAATACTCTACCGAGATAGGTACTAAACCATTGTTCTTTTTGCAAGCAGATTCAAGTGGTGTAATCAATGCCTTTTTATAGTGTGAAAAACTTTAATCTAATGCAACAGTTTAATCAAATTACTTGTTCCCAAACTGTGCTGCACCAGTATCCACAAAGGCTAAATGTCACATAATTGGATAAACTTTTATGATCCACTAACTCAGTATTCAGTGTTAATGAACTCTAGTAGTTTGGACTAATGTGTGATTTTTTTTTTTATATTTGACATTTAGTTAAGCCTGATATTCAGAAAGGCTATAGCATCACGTTTCCTGATGCTGATGCCGGTTCTGATGAAGACTATGACAATGAGGAGGATGATGATGACGAAGAGCCACTTTCCATCAAGGGGGACGGCAAAGGAGCCTTGGATCCAAAATCTAAACTCCATGAACCTCACACCAACGCTAAACCTCGCGCTGACAACAAAGACCCAACCGGATTTGACTTCCGCTGCACTAAAAAAGGTTTTAAGATCTCGCTGGTTAAAGAAGAGTTGGACAAAGTTCTGGTTCTTGGTAAGTGCTGGGCATAGCTCATTCTAGATCCATGTTGTGAATAATGGTTTGTTCCTTGTTTTTTTTTTTAAGGCTTAAAAGACCTGGTGAGGGCTTCAAATGCTTCGGAGGAGTGTGGCTACGATGTGGACCTAGAACAAGGGACTTTGAGGGTGCCTTTTACCGGGTGTCATGTCAAGAATGAGGTATGGGTTGATTTTTGACCTAAGCTCCGCCCCCAATGGCAGCAATGGTGTCGAGCCGGAATCTAAACTTGAGCCTAAAACTGCAACTTCCCATGTAGAATGTTTGAATAATGTTGATTCTAAATGCTCGATGGGTCTTTCATTTTGTGCGTAGAATACACCCTGCCTATTGCCCCCCTCCTGCTGAGACTCTACTGTTAAAATCTACAGTTGGAGAATATGCTGGGAGTGTATTAAACTTTCTCTTTCTTGTAGACTGATGACTTCGTGCTACAGCTGCTTTTATCTGGAGGCACTCGAGTGAGAACTGCGACTTGTCCTCACGCAAAATCTGTTAAAAGTGGAGAATCTCTTCAACCCAGAGGACATTCTACTCTAGTCTGCCCATTTTCAACAAGTCCTCCAGCGCTAGAAGTTAATCTGGAACTGCAGCTGCCCCACAGCCACCACCAGCACCCGGTTCCACAGCTGCCCCACACCCACCACCAGCACCCGGTTCCACAGCTGCCCCACACCCACCACCAGCACCCGGTTCCACAGCTGCCCCACACCCACCACCAGCACCCGGTTCCACAGCTGCCCCACACCCACCACCAGCACCCGGTTCCACAGCTGCCCCACCACCAGCACCCGGTTCCACAGCTGCCCCACCACCAGCACCCGCTTCCACACCCGCCCCACCACCACCCGCTTCCACATCCTCCACCAGATGTGCCGCCCCCACATGTGCCGCATCCCCAGCACCCATCAGCGCCATGTAAGTACTGCTCAGCTGTGACTAAAACTACATCACTGCAAACTACTGAAAGATTAAATATTAACACTGCCAGATGACCAATAAACTACTGTATATGGCATTTGAAACTAGAGAAACCTCCTAAACTGTCATAACTGATGCTTTTTAGCTTGTGTATGGAACAAGACTGCACTTAATGTTCTTTGTGTCTGGTTTATATATTTCAGATTGTGACTTTGCCTCGGTGGAGCGTGTGCCGTGTGGTACTCCCTGGATGACTCCCCAGTCCTGTCAATCAATGGGATGCTGTTGGGATTCAGCCTGCTTTTACCCAATGGATGGTACAAATGGATTAGTGACTCTTGTGCATAGAGAAATCATGCTAATTATGACTTCTGTGCTGAAAATTGGTAACCTTAAATTTGCACTTTTCCTTCAGAATGCACAAGTGACAACCACTTTGTGTTTGCGATCCACCACAACACTGCCTCCCTGAACCTGGACCCTGCCAGCCTCGTCATCCCAGGCACAAGCTGCAAACCGGTCATACTCACCGCCACCGTGGCAGTCTTCAAGTTCAAAGTCAACGAATGTGGCACTCGGGAATTTGTAAGTTTGGATGTTTTCATGTTTAGTAGATAAGATTCCTTTTATTTGTCTCACAGTGGACATTGTTGTGCATTACGGCAGAGAAAGAAGCAAATAGAACTAAGATTGCTTGCACACATCAGTCTAGTTAAGATAGTGTATTATATAATTAAAATGAGAAGGTAAGATAAAATACTCTGGCGCTATAATTGCACTTGGTTCAGGAGTATTTACACATGTGTATATTGTACTGTAGCCATGGATCATATGAGCAGAATAAAAATCAGGTAAAGTGAATGGCAGAGTGACTTTATAAACCCAAAGTCCCTTTTTTACAGTTACTCTTATAATAAACTTTTGATTTTACAGATGGTTGGTGCAACTAAAGTGTATCTCGCTGAAGTCCAAGTAGTGGTTAACTCCTTAAATTTGAAGTATGGTGTGATTTCAAGAAGTCCTCAATTGCGGTAACCTTATCTCATTTTTGTCTTTAATGAAGATTACAGTTGTGTTTTCGAGGCAAACGTTTTAATTAAATGGCTCATTCTGTGTTGTAGTTTCTTGATCGAGTGCCGCTACAGCACTGGTAAATCCTCTCTGGCCAGCACTGGATTCATGGTGAAGACTTCCAGCTACTTGACACACGCCAACGTCTACGCTGATGGACTATACGGGGTAGAACTGAGACTGGCAACCGGTTTGTGTTTAAAATCGTATGCATTGAGAATTGATGACACAGGTCTTGAAATATTTGCCTCTTCCAGATAATACATTCGCCTCCTTCCATCAGTCGCACCATCAGCCACTGCGGCTCCTGCTCGGCAAAAAAGTCTATTTCCAGTTGCATTTAATTTCACCGGTTCCAAAATCAACCCTCCTGGTCAACTACTGTGTCGCATATCCTCGTTCTGCTCACAATGCTTTAGTGCTGGTTTATGAAGGGTAAGGAAATACTTTTAGATCTGCTCAGAATTTACTTTTGGGGTCATTCTTAAACATTTCACTTGTCTCCCTCCAAAGATGTGCCAATCCTTTTGACCCACAATCGTCCGTCATTAAAAACATTGCATATAATGGCCCGACTCATGAAAGGAGGTTTGAAGTTGACGTTTTCCAGTTTATGGAACAGAATACGAATAAGTATCTGGATGAAGAAGTGAGTTTTGCTATATATATTTTTTGGATTGTTGCATAAAGTGCATTTGGCCAACCTTCGAAATATTTGTTTTTGCAGATCTACTTCATGTGCTCCACAGAAGTCTGCTTTCCGTCTGAAAAAGAGTGCAAGGAGCACTGTTTTGACTGGTAAGTTTCTACTGCAGATGGATGAAGTGCTGACTTGGTTCCTAATGTTTTGTTCCTGCTTCACAGATGACCTGGACTGAGTAAATAAACTTTTTTTTATCCTACATGTTGTGTGGCTCTCTGGTTCAACAGTTGCAGAGGCTAAGCTTGCATAAAAAACTTTGGGTATAAAGTGCGTGAATTTCAGTTTTACTGAGGCTTTCTCCTAAACAAGTTCTGTAACTGAGTAAAACCAAAATGAGTGGACAAGGCAAATTCAATAACTTTAGGACAGGCTAAAAAGAAAATGTGGCTGGCTATATCTGCTTTTCAAAGCCAGATGCACTGTGTGTAGTCTGTCCAACCAGGAGCCACAGTGGGAAAACTTCTGAGGCAGCTTCACCCACATTGTATGCATCCAGCTGTCTTGAGGAGGTTCTTGCATTAGTAGTAAGTAGTAGTAGTAATCTTTATATACCGCCTTTTCACTGCAGATCTGAGTCTCAAAGCGGTTTACAATTGTTAATTTTGGGCATTTGTCTCACTCCACACAGAGATGGGAGCGGGGCCAGTACAGGAGGCGCATGCTAGAACTATTGGACATAATTTTAGTGGTAGGGGAAACCGGAGCACCCGGAGGAAACCTACGCAAACACAGGGAGAACATGCAAACTCCATTCAAAGGCCCTGGTCCGACCGGGATTCGAACCCAGGACCTTCTTGCTGAGAGGCGAGAGTGCTACCCACTCAGCCACCGTGCCGCCCACGCATTAGCAGCTGAATACAAAGTACTGTCAACATGTCTTTAACCTGGAGGTACCAAAGTCTGCAGTACTACCACTTGCTTTATTTTTGGGTCACACTTTGGGATTAATTGCGTTTGCAGAAGGTAATTCACATTTAACTCATTTACGCAATATTAGCACCCATCGCAAGGTGTTTGAGTGTAAAATCTGTTAGAATTTAACCATAAAGCAATCTTAATTTTTATTGACAAACCGGCTTACATATTTAGTACAATTTCACGCATATATAAAACACTAGAAGAAAAACGACCATAGAAAGCCACATTACTGAGTCACAAGGGTCAGAGGTAGATTCACAATATTTTCATACGACCAAAATGCTTGCTTTGAATTACACAGCCTCAAAGAATCCTTAAAGATTCGCTCGTTTTATCTGGACTCAAGTTTTGATCAATTGGCATGTCAATTCGATGATGGATCGCATCCGGATCATGGTCCAATAGTTCCCACAATTCCTTGCGCCACGTAACCTCTTGCATAAATCCAACACAATAAATGCAGCTCACGGAAAAGCTGCAGAACACTGATTTATAAAGATTCAGGGACGTTTTAAGACCTAACCTCTCACCCACCGCGTCATATTCTGCCGTATTTGCTGACAGAATACCGGAAGTACGTCAGGTAAATAACAGCGCTGTCATCTTCACACTTGTTTACGCACAAGTTGTTCATTTAGTCCCGTTCTTGATTAAATTAGGACCTTATTTGCTCTTAATTGTGTTTGTAGCATGAAGCTAGGGCTACCTTGAGCGCACATGTTGCTAGCACCAAATAACTAGCTAACACATGAGCATGAATTAAATTATTTGTTTATTAATTTCAGGCATTTCACAAGAGGCACAAGTCACCTCTAGTCCATAGTGTTCAATAGAAATACATTGCTAACATGCTTAAACCAAAATAGTTGCCTGAAAGGAAGTAGGAAGAAATTGTCAATTAATACTTCATAATTCATAGTATGTTAATTAAAACATCGTAGACGGCTATCAAACGTAATTCTCATCAACTACACGTAAAACTCTGGTACTCTGTGATCGCTCAGAGGTGTCCATTATCCAGCAGCTGTCAGCAGGTTTGCAAGAGGCGTGGTTTTGGTCCCACATAAGAAGCACGAGTTGAAGAACAGCCTTGTCTCCCACTCTCTCCAGCTTGGACAGACTTCAGCTCTGCAAACATGGCTCACCTCCCAGCTCTTTTCAAATATGTGGATGACAACCAAGATCTCTATGTGAAGGTAAAGAGATTGTCTTGGAAACATGGACTGCATCTGAGAGCCAAATGTCATGAAATGTTTTCTTGAATAAACTGAATGTACACATGTATTTTTTGTTTTGTATTTCCCGTGATATTATTTGTGTGTTCTTCAGCGTCTTGCAGATTGGGTTGCAGTGCAGAGCGTGTCAGCCTGGCCAGAGAAGAGGGGTGAGATCAAGAAAATGATGGCAATGGCTGCTAAGGACATAGAGAGATTGGGGGGATCTGTGGAGCTGGTAGACATCGGTAAACAAACGGTATGACAAACACTTTTTTTTGTACTATACAGCCACTACAAGAATGTATTTAATGATTTTCTTGTGCAGCTTCCCTCTGGAGAAGAAATCCCCCTGCCCCCCATTGTTCTGGGACATTTGGGGTCCGACCCAGGCAAGAAGACGGTGTGCATCTATGGTCACCTCGATGTCCAACCAGCTGCTCTGGAGGATGGCTGGGACACGGAGCCTTTTACTCTGGTGGAGAAAGACGGTAAAAATCTTTTCCACTTCCACTTTGTTTGCCTTGAGCTGTTTTGAAGTAATTATAGTCTTCTGGCATATCAAAATGAAACTACTGAATGTTTTGGTTGTAGCATTCTACCAGCAAGCATTTGTACAGCCTATTCTTTCAGTGACACACCCCACTGCAAGCTAGCATAAATCTTTAAGCCATTTCGTAATATTGTAATTATTCAACTTTAAAGTTACCCCACTGACTACTAACCCTAACTTTTTGGGTTTCATGAAGTTTTGTGAATAAGTTGAGACCACAACTAATACTTTATCAAATACAAACATTTCTTCTGTACATACTAGGAGCTGAGTCAGGGCTGGTACCTCCTTTTTACTGTAAAAAGCTGATTTGAAAATGTGAAAAGGGCCAAAAATACATAAATACTAGAGATAGAATAAATCTGCTTGGAGAGCTAGGATCTGGATACATGGATTTTATTGCAGTTTATATTTTGTGGTTTCAGAGTTGTGTTCTAGGGCTTTAAGTAATAACTTTAAATTGACTGGGCTGTTTTTATCATTGTTTTGTGATCATGATGTCATTAGCTGCTGATTTCCAAAGTCCATGCTCCTACCATTTACGTTGAAGGGTAGAGTCTGGATCTTATCTTCAAATATCATAGTTCAAGACAATTAATTGCCAAATGATAGTGGGTGATATTGTGTTTTTGTTAGTCATGGGATTGATTGCTAAATATGTCTGATTGTTAGAAACTATTGAATTTAGTGTAATATCTTGAGCTTTGTCATGTCTTTTGTCACCTGACAGACTGCGCCACATCCTCTTTCAGTATTTTGTCTGTTCAGCTGTTGAGTTTGCATTTACAGCCCACTAAGTTTTGCTTTTGCCGCGTCACTCTTTTGTGTGGTCTTAGTTTTCCACCAAAGAGATTTGTAATGAAACTTATTGCAATGCGCAGTTCTATCCCTGTATCTGCTGTTTAGTTTATGTAACACCACATTATACAATTATACAGTACCTATGATGAAAATTACAGGCATATTTTGAAGTGGGAGAACTTGCACATTTGGTGGCTGGCTAGTAGCTTTTTGCCCCTCTGTATTAAAATCATCTGTAAGTAACTATGGGATGTATTTGTTTGTTCTTTTAGGTAAGATGTATGGAAGAGGATCCACAGATGACAAAGGCCCTGTTTTAGCCTGGTTTAACATCATTGAGGCTTACCAGAAGATCAAACAGGTAACATTAGTAATCAATGTAAACTGGTATGTTTAATAACTACTAACGCCATGGCGGGTGTGGCGTTTATTTTAAAACTGCACACTGTGTCCGTCCGGAAAGATTTGTCTGGGTTTTTGTCTTAAACCAAACAACTGAAAGCTCTGTCTCTGCTCTGAGTCTGTGATTACTGCTGGATAATCACGTCAAGGCAAAAGGTTCAAAGGTCTTTAAATATGATGTGATCCTCGTGGGGAGTGAACCGCGATTAATCATTAAACCTAAAGTCTTATTTTCATCACCCATATTCTAACCTACTCAGTATCTCTTGTTATTGTCTTTTCTACTATATTGAAATTGTTTTGCATACATTGTAAACTTATATTTATCATTGCTTTTATTATAATATCTTGCCTGAAGAACTATATTCTAAACCAGGTGTCTCCAACCTTTTTTCACCAGAGAAAAAGGCAAAAGAGTGACTCCTTTAAGCTGCCCTGGGAATTTTAATATATTAGTGTGAATGCCCTGATATTGGGTACAGTCATTATTTATCATTGGATATTTGTTACTAGTGAGCAAAGTGCGTTTATAATAATTAATAATACAATCTGAAATATTAAGTATGTTATTTGATTTGTTAATTTCTAAATGCTTTGGTGAGCTACATGGAAGGTGGTGGCGAGCTACTAGTGACTCCCGAGCTACTGTACTGTGTTTTGTATTCATAAACGTATACATTTCTTGATTTTAATCAAATGTTTTGTGTTTCAGGAGCTTCCCATCAACATCAAATTCTGCTTTGAGGGGATGGAGGAGTCTGGCTCAGAGGGTTTGGATGAGCTTGTGTTTTCTCGAAAAGACACTTTCCTCAAAGACGTGGACTATGTGTGCATCTCCGACAACTACTGGTTAGGCAAGACCAAGCCCTGCATCACCTACGGCCTGAGGGGGATCTGCTATTTCTTCGTTGAGGTATTCTTACATAAACTTAAACATTAGTTATTCAGCAGTTGCATGACATGTAGGTTAGATGTGGGTTAGGTTTGCGTGGCGCTCCTTAAACTTAATGTGTATGATTTAGTAAAAAGCTTTTTCATTCTTTTTCTTAATATATGGAGAATATTTGAAAGATGTCCTCTGTGTCAAGTGCAATGTCCAGTTTTTGAGCGGCAATGATTTTCCATGGCCCTGAATGATTTAATGCCTGTACAATGGTTGGGTACAGATGGGTTTATGTTTCTGTTGTTGAACTTCCAACTCAGTTTGAAAATTAGCTGAAATTACACTAGTACTAAGCTTAAATACACTAGTACTAAGCTTGAAAATTTGATGAAAATACAGTAAACAATTTCAAATGTTTGTAATTGAAAATAATTCTATATTACTCCAACATTATCTTTTCCAGGGGAGACCGTTAGTTTGCAACATAACTCACAATGTTGCGTTATTAAATGAGTGTTGACCATATTTGCTACACATCAAACGTGTCAGGCTTTTGTAAAATTGTATGCTGTAGTAAGTTTAGTAAGTTTATTATATTTTGTTGTATCTATAGGTTGAGTGCTGTGAGAAGGACCTGCACTCTGGCGTGTTTGGAGGCTCCGTTCACGAAGCCATGACAGACCTGATCGCACTTATGGGTAAATAAATATACAATGGTGGAACAGAATAATGTTTATAGTCTGTGGTTCACCGTCTGTGTGTGTACTTGTAGGTGTCCTCGTTGATCCAAAAGGCAAGATATTGGTTCCAGAGCTGGACAAGGATGTTGCTCCATTGACTAAAGAGGAGCAAGCTCTGTATGAAAAAATTGAGTTCGACCTGGACGAGTACTGCAAAGATGTTGGAGTCTGTCACCTGCTTCACGACTCAAAAGTGAGTAACGAGACTTGTGAAATGTAGAGAAGTCCTTTACTGCCCTTTTTGAACACTTTATTTACTCTTTCCCATTAGGAAAAAATTCTGATGCATCGCTGGAGGTATCCATCCCTCTCTCTCCACGGAATAGAAGGAGCTTTTTCTGAAACTGGTGCCAAGACTGTCATCCCACGAAAGGTTATTGGGAAATTCTCCATCCGCCTGGTCCCAGACATGGACCCCAAAGTTGTTGAGAAGCAGGTGACTAACAGACTAAACTATGGGTATATTTGTGAAACTATTTTGATGTAACAGTTTGCAGAAGAAGTAAACAAGATTACATGGATACAGTAAGAATGCTATAAATCAGAAAATCCTTTTCAGTTTCTGGCTTCCATGTTTGAGGTCATTTTTGTGAATAAGTTTCAAAAGTGGGCTACTTCCCGTATAAATCCTGAGAGGTTAGCAGCATCGAAATGTCATGAAAAACTAATGTATGTATACTCTCGTTGCCTTTTACATAATTGTGATTTTATTTTCTAGGTGATCGGTCACTTGGAGAAGCAGTTTGCAGAGCGAGGAAGTCCTAATAAGCTGAAAGTTTACATGGGCCATGGAGCCAAAGCCTGGGTGTCTGACTTCAACCACCCACACTACATGGCTGGGCGCAAAGCCATGAAGACGGGTACATAGTGAACTTGTTTTAGTTTCATATTGACAAAACTGACTCACATTTGTGGCATCTGTTTGTTGGGCCAAGTCATAATGAAAGTGAGAGTGAAAGAGTGTTGCCTTTGGTTTTCTATAGACTCCTGACCACATTCTTTGTATTTTTGTAAAGCTGTTTTTCTCTGTGTGCTTCAGTATTTGGAGTGGAGCCCGACTTGACTCGTGAAGGTGGAAGTATCCCAGTCACACTGACGTTCCAGGAGGCGACCGGCCGCAATGTGATGCTGCTCCCAGTCGGGTCCTCAGACGACGGCGCACACTCTCAAAACGAAAAATTGAACAGGTAAAGACATGAACAGTAAAAATGAGTGTGTAACTGAACATCTACTAACCCCTAATAATGTCTTGTTTTATTTCAGAACAAACTACATCCAAGGGACCAAGATGCTGGGGGCATATTTTCATGAAGTTTCTTTATTGGAATAAGTGTTTCTTTCCAGATATTGTCGTCTCCTGCATCGCTGCTGGGTCACATCATCCACCACTGTACCACCACATTATTTGGTTTTATAATTCCTGCTAAACTATGCCAATAAAAGTATTTTTACTTAAGTCTGGCTGAATTTATTGGGTTTGTTGAAGTTACAGAACAGTAGGAATGAGATAAGTGAATATTAAATCTAACACAACTCTTTACTAAAATAAATACATAAAAAAGCACAATCTCTAGCTTGATAAAGAAGCAAAGTATGAACTTGTATATACTGTAGTGCAAGAAATATACACTTGTATGTATAAACCTGTAGTACAGGGTTCAAATATTCAGTGATGAAACTAAAGTGACAGTGAACACTTGTGATTCCATATTGCACTTGAGCTTTGTTTCAAATGTTAGAATTCTATTTCGGTTATAAACTCTTAGAACTTGTTTCAAGATACTGTAGATTAGAATAACCAACAATATTCATTATTTTATTATAGTCCAATCATAACTAGTAATCGTTTCCCATTTTTACAGTTGGAATACTGTCTATATACGAAAATATACACACTACTGGAATAATCATTTCAAGCTGTTTCATATCATTACGTGTGTAATCTACGTGTCGCTTTTATATTATCTTTTTGTCATACATTTTAATGCATATATTTTGTTTGGATTTGGTTGAAACAAGTATCTTTATATGTTTAATTCCCATGATCATGTGGCGCTATTTGGTTTTGGGTAAGTTTATCAAGAAAAAAACGGCAGAAAAAACCCTTTGGCGGATAGAGGCGGATCTGGCAACCCGGACTTCACTTCCGGGGCGCGAAAACTGTAAACAACAAACACCGCGGAAAAGGTTTCTGTCAGAAATAATCATGGAGATAACGTTATAAACATTGATTTGCAAAGTCAGCCTCATGTCACGGAGTTAATGTTTGGGTCCATTTGTCTGAAAAGTCTGTTCGTGATGGACCGGTACCATGACGTGAAGATTCTGCTGAAAAACTGGGAGCAAGACTTTGTCAAACTGCACCTAAGGAAACCCAATAAGGTAAATAATCATGTCTATTCACCACATGCCACACACGAGACAAGTGTTTACACATGAATGTTTTTGTTCTTAGGAGGACATTGATCAAGCTCCAGAGGAGACAAAAAGTAAGAACATATTTTATGGTACTTTTCAAAGTTTTATATTGTTCTTTTTTGTAGATTATATATTGCTGTGTCTGCATCAATGAGATATTTACAATGAACATATGTAAGAAGTAAGAACGTATTATATATATGTTGTTTTCCCAGAGTTGTATAAAGAGTACAGAAGTTTGAAACAGAGCAATGTAAACAGCGGCAGTAAAAGCAGTGGCTCAGCTGAGAGCACAGCCGAAAAGGACAATACATCCTCAAAGGTAATCATTCTTATCTTTTTTTTGCATTTTCTTGGATTTGATCAAGTTTCAATGCATTCCGTCTTCTTTTACAGGACACTGATTGTTGGGGTTCCCACTTGAATCGTAAGTCACTGCCGGTGGCTGCTCTAAAACTCTCATCAGAGGAAAGGGAGAATCTGAAGGCCTCAGCACAGTACTACGGCCTTAAGCTCAAGTCTAATTTAGTTGCACTTGGAAAGGTAAAGTCAACAATATAATTTCAGTTCAAAAATCATCTGTCATAATAACTATTCTGACCTCCAGGAGAGGCCTGTGTCATTAAAGAAAACTCCCAATCGAACACCGCTGAACTCCTTAAAAGATGGAGAAAGAAACAGTCCAGTTTCTACTCCTAAAAGAACACCTCACAAAGCATTTTCCAACCCTTTTTCTCCAAGGTACAGTAAGGACAAGATTGAAATTGCATTGCTTCAGAAACAACAAACTTTCACATACCTTTTGTTACTTAATAAATAACTAGTTTTTTTGCCTTATTTCACACTTCTTTTTGTATTACCATTTCATTGTTTTTTATGGGCGTGTAAAACAAGGAATTTTCTTTTTCTTCTTTTCTTAAGGTTTAATAGCTTTGGGTCCCCAGCTTCACAGTCTAATCCTTCAGAGGAGACTAAAGAACCTAAAGAACCTGAAGAACAAATGGAACCCTTTGCTCCTTTTATTGAACCAACAAACTCCAGCAGTGAAAATAACTCTACCTCTGTCAGAAAGCCCTCTCTTCTTTCATCACTGTCGCCTTCTAAAAATACTGGAACTTCACCTGAAAGTATCACACAGGCGCAAGATCAAGACAAAGATGAAACCGCACAATCCGCTGTCAAAAACCTGACCGCAGACAAAATAAAAGTAAATGTATTAAAGAGAAGCCCACAGTCTCCTACTGATTTCAGAGGAGGAATTATTGGAAAAAGTGTGACGCCAAAACCTTCTCTTGCAAATAGACTCACTCATATCGACAAGAAGTGGTTGGAAAGATGTCAAGTTTTTGGAGAGCTGGGAGCAGAGGAGAAACCTGTTGTGGGAAACAAGGAAGTGATTGAACAAAAAAAAGAAATAAATCATGATTCTAATGAACACATGAAGAGCATTGACAGTAGTGGTCAAGGTCAAATAGATAATGCTGCAAATCAACTGGATACATTGGTTAGCAGTGGTCAAAACACTGAGGAAAAACCTGCCCAGCACAAAAGAAAAAGTAAAAAAGCTGACCGTGATGTAAAAGAAGTTGACATGATGGACATAGATCCAGCAGAACCGATCCCAGATGAGGACGAGAAAGCTAAAAGTACCAAACGGAAGGGTCAAAAGAGGCAGAGGGGAGACGAAGCCGGAGCTGAGGAAGAGGAGTCAGGAGCCAAGAAGAAACGCAGACGTAAAAAGAAAGAGGTGGAGGCCGATGTTGACGAGACGACTCCAAAACCAGCGAGAAAACGTCGACCCAAAAAGAAGGGAGTGGAAGAGGAAGAAGAGGAGGAGGAGGAGGTGAAGACGGAGGAACCTAAAAAGGTAGTTTTTTCCATGTAACGTGGATAATAATACTGTGAATGCTGTTAGATGAAAATGTTGATATATATATATTTTTTAGTTCAAATTTGTATTGAGTTTTTATATGTATAAAAAAACAGCAAAAACACAATAACAAACAGTGAGGTCTTCTGCAACATCAGCTTAATGTGTCTATCTTAAATTTGAAGAAAAACCCCCCCCCAGTAAGTATAGAAACAGTCGCATTGGTTGATTACTTTCTAAGCTTCATTGGTAGAAAGTAAGTTCCCAACCTCTTCTCACAACATTTTCTATTATTTTTTTCTTTCCACAGAACATTTTTAGTATTAAATCTGGGTACCAACGATCTAACTTTTTTGTTGGTCATCAATAATACATTTTGTTTGTCCCATGAGAAAGGAGTCAGACGTGCTATTTGCTAAATATGCTAAATGCTATTCATCAAACCAACACCATGCTACCTTCTCCTTATGGAAAACATCTTATCTTTTCCTACTTGTGCTGATGCTTTGGGCTAAGAACTGATTAGCTGTGAGGATTGTTTTTCACTTTTCTGCCTGAAAAAGCTGATCAAAAGATGGATAGACAGTCCTGAATAACGGATCATTGCATGTAAAACGTATACATTCAAAAATACAATTATGTTTCTGAGTGTTGTAGCACAAAACACAAGATGGGATTCCATGCCATGAGAACGGGTTAACGGATTGATGTATCGTATTAGAGATTTTTAACACATTTGCCTGTGTCCAGCCGCCGCAGGAAAACCTGTTTGGAGAGGTGGAGGACAATTTTGGAGCCAGAAAACTGTATCAGCCCGGTTTGAACAAGCCAAAGTAAGCGATCTCTTTGGATTCTATTGTCAAATTAATTCTACTGCATTATTGCTGTGTGTTTAGGAACATGAAAACGGAGGGAAACTTTGTCAAAATAAACCTGAAGAAGAAATCCCATGTGAAAGGATATGCTCTGAGAGGAATGGCTCTGAGGCGACAGGTACATTTTACAGAGTATCGAGTATTTAACCGCGTGGATTTGTTATACACGGTACATATATATCTTGGTTTTCATTCGCAGATGTACATGGAGAAGTTCCAGCTGAAGGGAGAGCGATTCGGGGGTGGATTTGGAGGTGGATTTAGAGGAAGACGAGGAGGATTCAGGGGGTCGATCAATCGCCAAGGAGACACCTGCTACAAGTGCGGGGGCACGGGTCACTGGGCCTCGGACTGCAAGGGCCGAGGTAACGGAGGAGCAGAGCCACTTTGCAGTATTCGTATAGTAATTTAAGGTCATACTTTCAAAAGAATCAAAACCAGATCTTAAACAATGCTAAAACTAGTGCCAAAATTTGAGTAAGTATTGATGCTATGAAAAAAGGCACGTCCAAACTAAGAATATGGGAGGCTTCTCATCTCTGCATTTTACATATCAGTGCTATGTGTCACATGACCAAGATGTAAGGAGAGAATTTGGTCCAAAAAAAAAACTGCCAGACTCCAAACAAAAAACAAAAATGTTGTAAGTTTTTGTTTGGCTTCCATGTGCTCCCCAAACCCTAGCCGTGGACTGGAGGTTGGGACCACTGTCTTAGAAAATTCTTGAGTTAATAGTATTTCTCAGTCCCAGATGACTCCTATATACTGTAAGGTTTGAATACAAAACAGACATTTTAGTTAAGATAAAGGGTTTGTATGCTGGAATGAATCTACATAACACACATAATAATCCCACTGCTATTTCTTTAGCCCCGCCCCCATCGACACAAGACGAGCCGCCCGCCGAAGATGAACCCTTTGAACTTCCCACTCTGGAGGAAGTCGCCCGGGCAACGGGGACGCTCAAATCGGAACCTATTGGTAACTACACATTTGTTAAACAAGACATTATTAAAGATCGGTTCACAGTAGTGTCGTCATTAGTTTGTCAGAGCAAGACTGAAGACTCGACTCAGGACAAAGATGCAGACGGTGAGAAACAAGACGAGATTTTGCTGAATGTGATTCGTCCGGACTATGAGCGCCCACCGGTCCCGCCGCCGCTGGAGCCTCTCTTCCCTCTGATGGACAATGGGAAAGTTCAAGGTAAAGGCGGAATTTTGTAGTTTCAAAATGGCATTAGAACTCAGAGGTTCCCAGTTCCTGTCTGAAATGTCCCAGTGAAGGACGAATAAACTTTTCTCTAGAACTGTTCTTCATTATCCAGCCCTGTCTTTCATTACGTACCTGGACAGAAACAAATGAAACAGAGGTTCAATGAGCGCCTGCACGGTCATGGTACACCTCTGGTCTGGTACCATGGCTGTGCCTGAACTGAAACTCCTCTTTGCCACAGGATATTTATTAGACGACCAAACCCACCCACATGATGTCCACATCATTGTCACTTCCAAGATTCCATAATATGGCCTAAACCATTAGTTTGTTGACATATAAGCTTTTCCAAGCACATCTCCTACTATGACAACCTAAACCTAGTGACAGTACCTCAAAGACAATATGTTACATTCATTAAAGATGCAGTGATTTTTTTATAGACGCATTTTTTTAAATATTGTGGGAAAACGTCCCTAAACCCTTAAAGTAGTCAAGGTATAATGTTTTTCCAAATAGTAATGGAATTGACCAGGTGCCTATAGTCTACAAAATATAATACAAAATCTTTTGGAGCCAACCGATAAAAATAGACCAATGGGATTCGTTCATCCTCAACGAACCAATGAGATGTGTTTACCCCCTTCACCCTCTTCCTGTTTCTCGTGAGTGCACGCACCGGAGTTATCGGATTTTCTAAAACCTAAAAGGGTTGAATAGAAAACGCCAATTTCACGTTTGCCGCCCACTCTCCCTGTTGTGACAAAGAAAAGAAAATGCTGGATGTTTGGTTTGGTGGAGAGGGGAGGGGAGGGGAGGGGGGAGTTTTGTGGAGTTGCTGCTACGGCTAAGCTAACAAAATCACTTACTGCACCTTTAAACTTGATAAAACAACTCAGAATTCTACCATATAGTACCGATACCTTTTAATACTGATGTCAACTACTTCTGTAATTATGAGGATGATAAAGCTACATCCCTCCCGTTGACAGAAACACCAGCTGAAGTTTTCACCGGCCTCAAAGACTTGGGTTATTCATCTTTCCGAGCTGGGCAGGAGGACGCCATCATGAGGATCCTGTCTGGTAATGGATCCTTTCCGTGTATTGATGTATGTCTATGCATTTACAATTTAACGTATCATTTCTCCTTTGTACGTGCAGGTCTTTCTACACTGGTTGTGTTGTCAACAGGAATGGGGAAATCCCTGTGCTACCAGCTGCCGGCGTACCTGTACTATCAGCGCTCAAAATGCATCACGCTGGTTATTTCACCCCTGGTCTCTCTAATGGATGATCAAGTGAGATGCTGAGTAGAATTATATAATGTTGCAAGACTTTTACATTATGTTATGAGCTCAAGGACAGAGCACAATAGACAGTAGGCAGAGTGTTCCATTTATAAGGAGCATAACATACCTTTACAAAGCACAATCCGATAGATGTAATGGACTGTAGGGGGCTTTATAAACAACTAGACGGATTCAAAGTTAAGTGTTCCATAATATTCCATTTTCTGTATCAATAGTTTATGAATAATTAAGCAAATGTTGTATGTATGTGCTTTCTACGTAGCTTTCTGGAATATCTCCAAGACTACAGGCTGCTTGTATTCACTCGAACATGACGATGAAGCAGAGAGAAGCTGCAATTGAAAAGGTGCAGACAACTTTTTATCACGGTCACATTAAAGATCGTGTTTATGAAAAAATATTTGCAAATAAAAACACATGTATCGATGATTTAAGCCAGGTCATGTGTTCTGATTGAGTTTTAACCACATGCTTTCTGGTTCTGTGTTTGTGCAGGTGAAGGCAGGGCAGGTGTGTGTGCTGCTCCTCTCTCCGGAGGCTCTGGTCGGTGGCGGTGGTTCAGGGTCTGGCTGTCTTCCTCCAGCTCATGAGCTCCCCCCTGTGGCCTTCGCCTGCATAGATGAGGCTCACTGTGTGTCTGAGTGGTCCCACAACTTCAGACCCTGCTATCTGAGGCTCTGCAAGGTACAAAGATTTTATTTTATTTAAAAGGTGTCATTTCACTTGTTAGAATAGACAGTTGTTTCAGAAACACATTATATTGGCCAATCTCTAATCTAAAAAAAAAAAAGCTCTACAATAATTACATTTTGCCATCAGTCACATAATGTAAGTTGACCGCATCATACAATTTGGACGCTGTTTTCTGTAAAACACAAGTCAATGCCTACAGTGATAATGATTGCTTGTGTAGGTGCTCCGGGAGCGTCTTGGTGTGCGGTGCTTGTTGGGCCTCACAGCTACAGCCACTCTGTCCACGGCGCTGGACATCGCTCGACATTTGGACATCAACGATGAAGACGGCATCGCTGTGAGGTCTGCAGCTGTGCCTCCAAACCTCAACCTCTCTGTGTCGATGGACAGAGAGAAGGACCAGGTCGGTCTCTTGAATAATTAATAATGATAATAAGAGTTATTTACTAATCAGTCATGAACTTGATTACAGGCTTTGGTTTCCTTATTGAGAGGTGACAGATTTGGATGCCTGGACTCCATTATTGTGTACTGCACCCGCAGAGAGGAGACCACACGAGTTGCTGCACTGCTGAGAACTTGCCTGCAGGGGGTGCTAGTGAAAGAAAACCCTCATATTACCAACAGCAATCCTCAAAACAACCCTGTTGGACAGAAAAAGAAGGAACTAGGTATGTGGCTCAGAATAATAAAGAACCAATGGACAACAAATCTTAAGAACATTTCAGTGGCAGCAAACGACACGTTAAGGATTTGCTTTTTCCTCTTTATCCGGTAAAACTGAATTAGTTTTATTACATTGTGTGATGTTTGGAAAATTAAAACTTTTATTTCTTCCTTCAAAGATTTTTGTGTGTGTAGCAGGGTCATTGTGTAATGATAGCAGTAACTAAAATGTTGCAATCCTAAACATTGAACACATCTCTAGCAAAGAAGAAGATCCGCAAACCGCTGAAATGGCAGGCGGAGTCGTACCACGCCGGGCTGTCTGGGTCAGAGCGCCGCCGCGTCCAGAACAACTTTATGTGCGGTGAGCTGAGAATCGTCGTGGCAACCGTGGCTTTTGGGATGGGACTGGACAAATCTGACGTCCGTGGGATTATCCACTACAACATGCCCAAGGTTTGTGGGGGAACAATAGCAGCTTATATTGTTATTTCTTAAGTTATTCAGTGATATTGGCAATGAATCTGAAAGTGAGCGGTGGCTTGTCTTTCTCTGTATTTCTCTGTATGGACTAGGGGTGGCAACCTCACGATACGATACGATACAAAGCTCACAATAACGATTTTATCACGATATGACGATTATCGATATATTGGTCAGAAATATGCCAATTTATGGCATAAATAAAAGAAAAAATACTCTTTATTTCATGATAAATAGAATGGAGATGCGTAATGTAGCCATATATTAAGTATTGATACCAATTAAAAAAAATAAATCGATATTGATACTTGGCAAATGCATATCGATAATCGAATCGCGGGAGAAAGTATCGCGATATCGTCACACCCATACAAATAAACTTGCCTTGCTTTTCCTAGAGCTTTGAAAGTTATGTTCAAGAGATTGGACGAGCCGGACGAGACGGAGAGCCAGCCCACTGCCATCTGTTCTTAGACCCGGATGTGAGTCATGATCTAATATATTATTTGTATTTTTCTCTTTTAATTCTTCTTCTGTTGTTATTCGACGCACATGTCGTAGGGTGGGGATCTCCACGAGCTCCGGCGTCACATCTACGCAGACACTGTGGACTATTACACAGTGAAAAGGCTGGTGCAGAAAGTCTTTCCTTCTTGTAAATGCAAACAAATCCACCAGAAACAACAATTACTCAACAAGGTAATGGTTATTTTCTGTTTGTGGTGAGAAAGGCAGTTTGTCAGCTTTTCACAGGTTTTAAGAATAATTGACATCATTATCTGAAATCCATGAACTGCTTGCTTTGCTGATAGGACATAGAGGACTCCGAGCTTCTGGAAATGATGGAGGAGTGTGAGCAGGAGAACGGTCTGATTGAGAAAAATACACAGTCTACAAATGACCAATCACCCGATGTAAGTCATCCATACTATAAACAATAATAATAATACTAATTTTATTTATATTGCTCTTTACATTTCCAAGAAACCTCAAAAGTGCTACAGATTAAAAAACTACAGTAATAATAATAATGAATAATAATAATGCATCGGTTTTATATAGCACTTTTTTGGACACTCAAAGACATCCACTCCTGCCCTGGGGCACACTGACAGAAGCGAGGCAACCAGTCTGTGCCATCAGCCACTCCGACCACCACCATCACACACACACCAGACTCATTCTAGACTCTTGCCTGAGGACACAACGGCAGTTTGGCACTTTACAGCCGCAGCCGCCCCACTGGCTGGTGTTCCCAGAGGTTAAGTGTCTTGCCAAGGACACAACGACAGCTGACATCAGTGGAGAAGGTCCAGTGGTGGACTCGAACCCACAACCTTCAGGCTCAAAGGCCAATGCTCCACCAACTGAGCCACTGTCGCTCCACTTACAAACAACAAAACAAAGCAAAAGAATCAGAAGTACATAATACATCAAAATGAAGGGGTTAAAAGCGCATAAAATCCCTAATGGGCCTGATTAAAAAGTAAGGTTTTTAGGCCTCTTTTAACGAACTCGGAAGAATCTCTATAAAGACTGAGATGATGCATTAGTGGGTGTTTTAAGTTATTTTATTTCATTGGTTACTGCGCGATTATGATTAGACCTGGCAGACCTATAGTATGTATAGACATGTAATTTAAATGGTTGATCCGGTTTTGATGATCTAATAATATACAGAATGATTTTCTTTCTTCATCTGATATTTTTGGTTTAAATAATATTATCAATAACAATCCATTTTAATGCTAAAATGGATCTATTTTGTTTTCCAGTCGGGTAAGACACCACCTGTTGAAGCAGACGCCCCAGAGGCTGAGCCTGAGCCTGACGCCAGAAAGGACGAGCCACAAATGGGAAACGTTCTTTCAAATGGAGGCAGTGACATCAGCAAAGACAATGAAGAAACTGTGGTTTTCGAGTGGCCAAAAGAGAGAGTTTGTCACAGCCACGAGAGAGCCATTCCGGTCCAACAAACAGTGGAGACTTTGGACATCACAGAGGAAGGTAAGCACAACCCAAAAAGGCTTTGTGATAAGTAACATCTCAGAAAGTATTACATTAATCCTTTTAAAATATGAGAGAAAAGACATTTGCCCACATCTCGTCTCTTGTGAAACAGGCGTTGAGACGTTGCTGTGTTATCTGGAGCTTCACTCGCAGCGCTTTGTGGAGCTTCTTCACCCCACCTCGTCCCAGTGCAAAATTGCCTGCTACAACGGACCACGGCAACTTCAGAAACTCACAAAAATGTATGAAAAACATAGTATTCTCTTTGACCTTTTATTTATATTCAGCATGTTAGTAATGTCATCTACAACTGACAGTAATTATGTCAGTTTTAATATTTTTACATCAATGTTTTAGTATTCACGACGGGCAAATTTAAAAATCTTGGGTGTTGCAGCTATGTGTCGGTGGCGTCAAGAGTTTGCACCGAATTAGCTGGATGTAGTTTAGCAATGGTGAGGAATGCGGTAGTAAAGGAAGCTCTTCAATCCCTTCTGGTTTGTCTCCAAATATCAAGAAATTAAAGCCGGAGCAAGAGGAATGTTTAGCAGATTTCATTGCTGCAAATATGTTGTGGCTCTACTCCCCACAGGCTCTGTGACCTAGGCCAGAGAGAGAGAGAGAGAGAGAGAGAGAGATCCCAGGGGGCCAGAGAGAGACCCCACATGAAGGCTATTAGGAGCAGTAGGTGACCCCGCTGCCCAAGCCCCTGTAGATCCTGACCAAATCTAGGCTAAAAGCTAAATGCCTCACTCTCTCGGGCGCAATGCATACGTCACGGTAAACTCTGATCCAATCGTTTCAATCTGCAAAAGGAGTTAACCCCTCCCACCTGTTAACAGCGCTCAATCCAGATCCCAGTACGAAATGAAATGAGTACAGTGGTATGACAAGACCAGGCTAATACTACACATATATTTGTTTGCAGCTGTCCTCCTGTGGCTGTGGTTCTGGCCCGCATGCGCATGGCGGGACAGCGGGTGGAGGCTCTAGACGAGGTGGAGTTTGATGTGGTGGAAGTGGCCGACACGATGGGCTGGCAGCTCCCTCTGGTGAAGAGAGGCCTCAGGCAGCTGCAGTGGAGCTCCGGTCAGTCACACGCTCACTATTCTTTACTCGCTAGATCTTCAAAGGATTCAGAAATGAAAGTCAATATTTGAGCACTCAGAACTCCCGAGTGCAACATAGAAATTATTATCAATTGATGAGACAATTAATTCCTTGTTTGGTTGTTTGGGATAAAAAAATATGTTCCCAAACCATGCATCTCCGTTTTCCACTTGCAAATTCCATTAAAGTCGCCAAAATCACCAGCGCTAACACTCACTACACAATACTGGGAAGAAATATTGATGCATCATTTAAACCAGGGGTGTCAATCTCTTTATGGTCAGGGGCCGATTAAAAAAAATAGGAACTGGTCGGGGCCGAAACAATAGAAGAGATTTCCTTTTCCTTTTATTAGTTTTTAACATTATGAAGATATTTTAACATGACTTTAATGTGACATGAGAGTCACTGTCATTTTCTGGTTTATTTTTCTGAAAACAAAGTGTGTTTATTTTTTTTATTTAACTCTTTAACTTCTAATCATGTGTAATGGGTTAAAATGTTAGAATACATTAAATTTGGTTGTTTTCCTGAGAAAATAGATGATGTATAACCTACCTTAGTCGCCCATTACCATCAATGCTGCTAGTTAATAGTAATACAAAATAATTTTATGGGCCACTAAAAATAGTCTTGCAGGCCGGATCTGGCCCCCGGGCCTTGACTTTGACACCCATTATTTACACTAGAGCTCGGAAGCGCCTCTCCACTATAGTCTTTTTCTTTGCTATCCACTGAAAGCTCTCAAACCAAGAGGACTCGTTAAAACCATAGACTGTTAACGCTCTGAACCAATGAGAAGCCGGGAAACTCATTGAGCCAATGAAACGCTTCGATACAGTTGATACACAAAGTGAAGCAGTGGCTGCAGAATCCGAGAAACGTTTGTCACATGACCGGCTTGTTTTGATACACAAACAACACTGTTTCGTAGCATCAGACACAGATAAGGCTCTTTTGGCTCTTCTGTGGATAATTACGGAGAAACTTGAGCTTGATATTCAGAAAAGTTATCGTTGTATTTGAACACGGGAAAGTGCGTTTTTTTGTCGTCTTTTCAAGTTTAAATATCTGTTTTTCATGACTTTTAAAAACCTTGCTGTGGGTTGTGCCGCAGTGGGGGGTCGCAGTGGTATTATGGTGGAGTTTTCGGCGCCCTCGTTTTACTTCCGTTCCTACGGTGACCTCAGCGACGAGGAGATGGACCAAGTCTGTCAGTTTCTCCACAGCAGGGTTCAGAGCCAGGAGGCCACTCAGCTCTACCAGCTCACCTCCAGCTTCAAGGCCTTCAAAAGGTACCAGGATTAGCACTACATTTGAGAAAAACTGGTTCTAGTTGATCAATTTGAACTGGTTCGTATGTGCCGACTAAGTACAAGTGAAAGTCAGAAATTTAGAATATAAATTTTTTATTCATATATTTTTTTTATTTCTATTTAAAACGTTAAACCATCTTTTATTTTATTATTATTATTTCAGTTCATTTTCTTGTCTTTTTTTTATATAGGTTTTTTAATAAATATTTTTTATATGAAATTTTGACAATTTGAATTCTGAAACGTTAACATTTTTTAGTTTTTGCCTTTTTAAAGTATACAAAAATAAATGTGAAACCTATTTTTGGGTTTCATGAACCTGGCCAGTAGGGGGCGAATGAGCAGAGGTGGGACAACTCAGTGTTGCTCCCATTGAAAACCGTGAAAAGTCTGTTTTAGAGTCAAAAGGCTCTCCTCCTGTGCGGTGTACGGTTGTTGTAACAGTCTTAATCGGGAACACTCAATTCTAAGTGAGTACTAACAAATATTTCTCAAAAGAGTCTTGATTTCGGGAATTTTTGGAAAGAAAAACAGAAGAAATTGCTGCGTTTCATTGGGGTGGCCTGCAGGGGGAGCTTATCTGGGAAAGCCTTGATCCACCTCGCCCGCCTCATTCCAGTGATTTTTCCAAAGTGTCCTCCTTTATATGAGATCACAGTTGGAACATGAACAAACTCTTGTCTTTCTCTCTATTTGTGCGGTTGCTACAAGCGTACACCGCACAAAAAGATGGCATTTTGACAGCACTTCTTCTTCTACTATATCTCCGTGTATAAACCCAGCAGACTTCACCGCTAGGATACGTCACGTCCTGTCCTACGTTTGGTATTCGCACCACTGCCCTGACGTCATATGAAACCCAAGAATATCAATTTTTAAGTTCAGAATTTTTTTTAGTTTCAACTTAAAACGTGGAACCCTCTTTTAATTTATTATGATTTTTTTCTGTTCATTTTCTTGTCTTTTTCTTTTTTTATACATAATTCTTTTCCTTTGCTATTATTATTAGTCATCTTTTCCTTTGCATTATAATCGTTGCCTTTTTATGTTTTAGAATTATGACATTTTGACCATTTGAACTCGGAAACTTTGACATTTTTTAGTTTTTGCCTTTTTAAAGTATAGAAAAATAAATGTGAAACCAATACACGTATGATATGTATTTTGTTCATCTGTTAATTATATGATTGTGCTGCAGTGTGGCGTATCAAAAAGTAACTTCCTGTGTGGAGGATTTGGATGCAGCCCGCAGTCTTCAGCTCAAAAGTCTTCTCTTTGAATATTTTGAAAAGAGGAGAGATCAGCACCACACCCTGGACCCTTTGGAAATTGAGGATCTTGACAAATATAAAGTACATACAGTCTTGTTTTTTCTGAATTGTTTATTTAAATGTGGTCCATGAGTGATTTGGAGCTTGTCTTTCAGATGGTGGACTGGGAAGGACAGATCCGAGCCGACATCAGGAGTTTCCTCTCAAACAGAAGTGATGAAAAGTTTTCTGGTCGAGCTGTGGCCAGGATTTTTCACGGCATCGGTGAGAACACACTGAAGCTATGAAACCACTGCGTTTTCATCTGTTCATCAGACAATTGAGAAAATACAACATGAATCTCTCTCTAGACATCGGAACATTATGAGATTAAATTCAGACCAGTCGGGAAAAAAAACTGTATAAGTTTTAGTTTCTGCCTCTGCTGTCAAAGGAGAATAATTCACTGCTTACATGGGATCAATATTACTGTCTATCGGACGATCAACACGTCTTCATGACATTTCCACAGCCTGTTGCCACTCGTAATCAGAGTAAAGGACAACAAAACTACAGAGGCGAGGTTTCACAGAGGCTCCAGTCTGTATTTTGTATGTGTATTTTTATGTGTTTTAATGTGTGAAGCGCTTTGTGATCCTGGTCTGTGAAATGCGCTTTACAAAAAACTTCTTAAACAAGAGTCTTAAACAATTCCATGTTGACTGTCACTGACGCTAGAGGGCAGTGAAGAGAAAGTAATAGTTTATTGCTTGAACTGTTTGAAGTTCACTGTTGAGAACACCTAACCCAACTCTTGGACCTGTTAAAAATCAACTTGTTTCTTTTTCAATTTGGACACAATCCTAATCACGGGATATTACAAGACAAACTTAAATGACATTAATTTTACATGTGGCCTTAAAATGTAGAATTATTTTTAGACTTTTTCAAGCAGATCCAATCAGAGCAGAATGTGTGTATAAACCAGAGTTCATATGGTTTCTAGCTAAACCCCAGCAGGTGGTTTGCATCAGTAATCTGAGCTATATGTGTCACAGACTGTAGAGTAACAAGGGTAGCATTGTAATCGTTGTGACTTCTCTACGAGTGGATACTGTCCCTGTTTTAAAGGAATTGCCGTATGAGTTTGTTCCACAACAGTTTTTAGATCAATGTTGTTAAAAAGAAATGCCAAAGCAAGAAGTTTCTCTAAAAACTTTATGAACACACAACAATAAACAATGTAACTGTTTTCAGGGAGCCCGTGTTTTCCCGCCATCGTCTACGGCAAAGACCGACGCTTCTGGAGGAAATACATCAAGTTTGACTTCAACCACCTGATCCGGCTGGCCACGCAGGAGATCATCAGATTCAAATGATTGTCAGGACTTTTTAACCTGGTTTTGTACAAAGTAAATATTTAAATAAAATCTATTTTTGTAACTTTGTTTGCATTTATGAACTATACAGACCTCCACAAGCACACACATAACATGCAAATCCATTCACAAGGAAGTTCAAACTCCCAGCAGCAGCAGGTGTGACAGAACACTATAGTCTTCATCACAAACTGCCCGATGTTTTATAAAAATACAGTCTTTACTCTTTTTTCGAGTTTGTTTTTGGGCAGTGCTTACACATGAACAGTTTGAGTGACAGGCCCCGGTGATGTCACTGGATCCATCAAAGGAAGAGGACACATTTTTATTTGGGGAAAATAAAGTATAAAGGGCGATAGTGACTCAGTTGGTAGAGCATTGGCCTGAAGGTTGTGGGTTCGAGTTCACCATGAGACCTTCTCCACCGACTCCCACTGATGTCTGCTGTTGTATCCTTGGGCAAGATACTTAACCCACTTTGCCTATAAGGATGTGTGTATGTATGTATATGTAAATTCTAAATGAACCATTGGGGAAGTAGGTCTTAACCAGGATCATTACAGAACACTCCAACAAAAAGGAACATTTGGATAAGACCTGTGGTGTTTATGATAATTTTTCTATTAAAGTATAAAATGAACCACAAACTTTGTTATTGTCTTTGATTATTTATCGCTGAGTCCAACTTTTCTGTTTTCAAATGAAGACTTCTTGTTGCTGCGGTGGTAAAGCTGGTTCAGATCAAGTTATTTTTCATCTCAAGATGAAATGAATGAATGACATTAATGAGACATAAAGGCAGTTACCTGTGTTCGGTGCTCGTCTCTGTTTAATGAATGTTTTCAATCAATCTGTTTCAGGAGCAGCTTAAACGGTCATCTTGTGGTCGAGCGTGGTTGTTTTGGAAGCGCTGGGCTTGTTCCCAAGGGTCCTATCCGCCCGCATTTATGTTATCATCAAAACAAAATACCACAACAATCCAGAAAGTACAACAGTCATACATTCCATGAAAGAACAGGAGAAGGATGAAGAAATAAAAATCTGATAAACTCCAACTCATTATCTTATCTGAAGAAATTTACAGAATCCATTTAGTTTAGATTTTATTCCCTGACCCCGGGGTGCCCACACTTATCAAACCAAGATCTACTTTTACAGCAACCATTGAGCCGTGATTGACCTCAGATTTATGTGGGGAGGTGGATCAAGGAATGTTTCTATCCATGCCAACGTGACATGTAAATTTCTCCTTTGTAAGATCAATAAAGCATATCTCATCTTGTATATGATCTGTTTCAACACTTTACACATTACAGTAAACACACGTCTGCCATCAAATGTACAGTAGCTTCTTCTGGAGTTTTTCTCATTGTAAAGTCACTTATAACTGATTATTGCTCATATTTTCCAGAAACGCTCTCTCATAAATGTTCTTAAAGTGAGTTCAAGTCGATGTGACCAGACTTCTGACACCGTAAATCTGTGCCATACAGTAAACCTGTGTCTTTGGACTCTGTTCCCGATAAAAAACGTTCACAAAAAGATCATAAAGATATGAACAGGAGTCAATCGGTGCAGTCTGCTCTTTGTAGTGATGTGAGAACATTTGTTGCAAATTTGTGTAAAAATAGATTTCAGCTGATCACGTGTTACAGTCTGCGATCATGTTTTCAGATTATGTTTCTTTAGCAAAGCCATGTAAGAAATCAGAGGCCATTGACTCGTAATAGCATGTTTTTATTATGAAGAAAACAACTATATACATTGTTTTAAAAAATCTTTCTGATTCAGCTTTTATACATCATGTTTAGCAAAAATACTTCTCAGTACACAAACTCAACAACTTTAATCACAGTTTACATTTCCTGCTGGAAACTCACGTTTTTGCTACAACCTGGCATAACTATTGATATAATCATATTTACAAAGTGTAAAAGTTCAGGTGTTTAAAACGACAGTTGTCTCCAGCTGTTTGCTTTGGAAACAGCAGCGTTTGCACGAAACACAGATAACATTATCTGTGGTTGTGTCACAGCTCTTTCTCCTGACACTTCATCCTTTACTCCTAGAAGAGCATGTGTGAGTAACATGTGTGGTGCCATTTCTATTTAAAAGTGGATTTGTTCTTCGAACAGAGACAGGAGCAGCAGGATGCCCCAGCCGCTCAGCAGACCCACGTTCTGCAGCAGGAAGACGAGCCACGGCCGCCGGCTGTCGATGTGCACCAGAGTGGGCAGCTGCAGACCACACAGTCAGCTCCACATTCTGCACTGCATTCAATCATGTTTAAATACTGTGAAGTCTTACCATGTCCGCCAGCCCCACGTACAGGAAGAGCCCAGCAGTCACTGCTGCGATCCACTGCTGCGTGACCACATCAGTGGCCACAGAGAGAGCGATGTAGAGGCCGAAGAACGAGGTCATGGCACTGCCCAGGTTCAGCAGCAGCGCTTTGCGGACAGACATGCCGGTGTGCAGCAGGATAGCAAAGTCTCCTGTTAAAGGATTTTATTTATTCAACATATTTAAAACATTTTTTATAATGTTTTCATCAGTCGCACAGAGACAGGACTGACCCAGTTCATGAGGGAGTTCGTGGCACAGAACCGCGATAGAAGTGGCTAAACCTGATCTCCACGACACAGAGAAAGCTGCTCCCATCGCCAACCCGTCAGCGAAGTTATGGAGACCGTCTCCTATCGTGATCATGTACGGCAGCAGGCGCTGCTCTGCAGGGGCAGACGTGTGTCAGAACCATTATCTGAGCTCAAAGATGCACTTTTCTGAAAAACATGAATTATCTCCAATGACTCACCTCTAGTGCGCTGCTTCTGAGGTTTCTCCTCCTCATAAACGACCTGAGAAATGCAGCGCATGCAGAGTCTGAGTATGTTAACAATAGAAATACTTAAACATTTATTATTATTCTCACCAGATCTGCTTTTGATGCTGACTGCATCTTTTCTTTTTGTTTTTTATCTTTTTGATACATTTCTAAAACTCTTCCATGGTCACAATGGTGTGGTTCAGTTTCATCCTGAAAAGATGTTTTGTTTTTTAAATTGAAATGCTAGTTTCTATCGTAATAACAGTATCTGAGGTATCTCACCCCATGATGGTCGTGTTGGTTCTTTTTATATTTGTGCGAGATGAGAGAGAAAAGCGACTCCATCAGGAAGAAGTAGTAGACTCCCGCCATCACGACCAACATCTTCCGAGTGTAATCTGGCAGCACTCCTTCGTCCGCGTGCACGTGTTTAGAGCCGCTGTCGGCCCCGTGCACATGGAGACCCAGGAACTACACACACAAGTTACACTTAGACTTCAACACTTGGACTTAAGGCGTGTGATTGTACTCGGGGGCCTCACCATTGGCAGCAGATGGAGCAGCGCGTCCCCCGTGAGAGAACCCACCGCCAAACTGATGCAGAACTGGATACTCAGCTGGAAGAGGGTGGTGCAGGAGGTGCAGAGGAGGACCAAGATGCCAAACATGGACGAGAGCGTGATCACCACATTGGCCAGAGTGGCGTACAGATATCCTGCACCACAAAAACCATCGTGTCATGCCAATACTGCATTCAAAATACAAAATATCCTCATCTCAGGAAATATACATGTCATGATTCAGGCCTGATGGGATGAATGAGGTGTAATCTGTAGAGTAATGTAATCTATAGAGGAGCGTACGTTCTGTTCGGCTCAGTCCGTCTGGTTTTCCTGGTTGGACAGCCACAGAACAGGATCCACTCAGCAGCTGCTGCACCAGCGCCGGACTGAGACGAGCCAGTTCTGACGAGTCTGAGGAGTTAGAGACTCCGTAGATCTGCAGCAGCTCCTCCGCAGAGAAACAGTGCTGCAATCAGAATAGTGTGAAGGATTTCGTTACAAGCTTCATTCATGTTTCTGAGGTGACTTATAAGAGTTAGCTAAACCTGTGTACACTTCACTTATCGATTCTCAAACTACAAAATAAGTTTGTATTATTATCATCAAGGCTCCATCTGATTGGAATAAGTTACCCACATACATTAGATCCTCAACCTCATTTGGCTTATTTAAATCCGAATTATCTAGATATCTTACCACTCCTTGTTCATGTTACTAGCTGTTTTTATTTTTTTTAATGATTATTAGTATTATTTTGTAATATCTGGATCTTTAAGTTGTATTATTCTATCAGTTGCTGTATGTATGGCCTGTATTTGACAATATTTTATGCAGAAATGTATATGTTTTTTGAATGTGTTACTATAGTAGGAGGTGGAGTGGGATCTGAGGGAGCAAACCTGTGTGTGTGTTAAATGTATAAATGTAAATTGTTTGTATTGTACTGTATTATATGTATTGTGTTTGTTTTTTGTTCATGGGACCCTCTCGAAAATGAGATGCTGCATGTCAAGAGGTTTTCCCTAAAAAAATCAAATCAATGGGAAAAGTCTAGTTCAGTTTGATGTCATTACATTGTCCCATGTGCTGTTGGTGACGTGCTCCTCCGGGTGCAGCGGGACACTCCTCCTCCTCCTGTGGTGGTGGTGGTTGTCATGGTGACTGTGACCGTGGCCATGGTCGTGGTCATGGTCGCCGTCCCTCTCTGAGTCTGGTCCCAGGTTCAGACTATTCATGAGATCTTTCAACTCTGAAAACCATCAACGCAAGTTTAGATGTTTAATTCTGACTGTGTTCAGAGTTGATTTAGTGAGACGTGAACATTCCGCACCTTGCAGAGTGAAGTTGTCTGATCCCAGCCGCTCCATGATGTCGTGCAGGAAGAAGCTGTCATCGGGCAGAGAGCTCCTGAAGCAGCCTCCCTCCAGAGCGTTCAGCAGGATTCTCCCAAACACCACCTCCTCGTGCCCCGTGAGCTCAGCGGCCCCGACACAGCTCTGCTACCAACACACACATTTATCATAACATTCACAAGTTCATCCTACTCTGCAGATCACACTTTTTCATACACAAAGAACGCGCTACCGGACTTTCAAAAACGACTTGCTTCCTTATAACTTTTCTTGGCAGAGATCACATTCTGTCTCATCTCCTAAATCTCATCTATGTTTTATGAATGAGTTTCAACATCAGAACTATTGTAGCTCTAGTTCCATCTTCCAAAACACCGCGGCTCCTGAGCCAAGTGGCACTGACCTACAGAGACATTATGGTAAACTTCAATCCTAATATTCAAAAGGTTGTCCTCAGCCTGAAATGGGGCAGCGTCCTCGGTACTTTGAAAGATGTTTGAGAACTGGGCTGAATCCACAAAGAGCCAGTGTTCCTGGATCTGACTCTAATTCCTACTAGATTAATCTTTTGGTGACGTTACTGCAATTTAAGACAAAAGCAAACTGAATGTGAAATGTGTGTGATTTAATAAACTGCTCTGAGCCAAAGCCATCCAGAAAATACAGCATTTTATCTGCATTTTTTTTACTCACAAAATCCAAAGTTCTATTTCTTCTTTCCCAACTAACAGCTCAAATCCCAGAATTCTGCTTTTTGGGCGACAATTACAAGGAGTGGAAACATTATGACTAAAGTTGAGCCAGAAAAGCACAAGCTACAAGTGATTCGCTCATGAACACTTCTGTGGAAACAAACGGTGACAAATTGGGTTGTTATGGCTTCGGTAGTGACTCCTGCAAGTTTGAGGACATGCACTTTATCAGTCCCTACGATAGTCCCCCCTGGACTGCCACCTTAACGTGGTGGGGGAGTTTGAGTACTCGGATGATCCTGGGAGCTATGCTGTCTGGGGCTTCATGCCCCTGGTAGGGCCTCCCATGGCAGACAGGTCTCAGGTGACGAGTCAGACGAAGCGCAGTCCAAAAACCACCATGGATCGCACTATAACGAGAGCAGTGACGTCGCCCGGCATGGCGCAGCCGGGGCCCCACCCTGGAGCCAGGCCTGGGGTCGGGGCTCGTATGCGAGCGCCTGGTGGCCGGGCCTTAGCCCACGGGGCCCGGCCGGCCTCAGCCCGAAGGGATGACGTGGGCAGTCCCTCCTGTGGGCCCACCACCTGCAGAGGGGTCCGTGGTGGCGCGGTGCTGAGAGGACTGGGCGGCAGTCGAAGGCGGAGACCTCGGCGACCCAGTCCGCACACACAACATCTGGCTCTTGGGACGTGGAACGTCACCTCACTGGGGGGGAAGGAGCCCGAGCTCGTGGGGGAGGTTGAGCGATACCGACTAGAGATAGTCGGCCTCACCTCCACACACAGCTTGGGCTCTGGAACCCAACTCCTTGAGAGGGGTTGGACGCTCCACTTTTCTGGAGTTTCCCGCGGGGAGAGGCGGCGAGCTGGGGTGGCCATTCTCATTGCCCCCCATCTCAGCCGCCATGTGTTGGAGTTCTCCCCGGTGAATGAGAGGGTCGCGTCCCTCCGCCTCCGGGTGGGGGACAAGTCTCTCATTGTTGTGACGGCCTACGGGCCTAACAGCAGTGCAGAGTACCCGGCCTTCTTGGAGTCCTTGGGAGGGGTACTGGACGGTGCACCGCCCGGGGACTCCGTCATTCTCCTGGGGGACTTCAACGCCCATGTGGGAGGCGCCAGTGACACTTGGAGAGGGGTGATCGGAAAGAACGGCCCCCCTGATTTGAACCCGAGCGGTGTTCAGTTGTTGGACTTCTGTGCCAGTCACAGTTTGTCCATCACGAACACCATGTTCGAGCACAAGGGTGTCCACCAGTGCACGTGGCACCAGGACACCCTAGGCCGGAGGTCGATGATCGACTTTGTTGTCGTATCATCTGACCTTCGACCGCGTGTCTCGGACACTCGGGTAAAGAGAGGGGCGGAGCTGTCAACCGATCATCACCTGGTCGTGAGTTGGATCCGCTGGCAGGGGAAGAAGCCGGTCAGACCTGGCAGACCCAAGCGTATAGTGAGGGTCTGCTGGGAACGTCTCGCTGAGCCCCCTGTCAGACGGACTTTCAACTCGCACCTCCGGGAGAGTTTCTCCCAGGTCCCGGCGGAGGAGGGAGACATGGAGTCCGAGTGGACCATGTTCTCTGCCTCAATCGCCGATGCGGCGGCTCGTAGCTGTGGTCGCAAGGTCTCTGGTGCTGGTCCCGGCGGCAACCCCCGAACCCGGTGGTGGACACCGGCAGTAAGGGATGCTGTCAGGCTGAAGAAGGAGTCCTATCGAGCCATGATGGTTCGGGGGACTCCTGAGGCAGCTGTCCAGTACCGGCAGGCCAAGCGTGCCGCGGCCCGGGCTGTTGCAGAGGCAAAAACCCGGGACTGGGAGGAGTTCGGAGAGTCCATGGAGCATGACTATCGGTCGGCCTCGAAGAGATTCTGGCAAACCATCCGGCGCCTCAGGAGGGGGAAGCAGTTCTTTGCCAACACCATGTACGGTGCGGGTGGAGAGCTGCTGACCTCGACTGGGGATATTGTCGGGCGGTGGAAGGAATACTTTGAGGTTCTCCTCAATCCCCCCGTCACGTCCTCTGTTACAGAGGCAGAGGCTGAGGATGTTGGGGCGGATACATCTATCTCCCTGGCTGAGGTCACCAAGGTGGTTGGTAGCCTCCATGGTGGCAAGGCTCCGGGTGTGGATGAGATCCGCCCTGATTATCTAAAGTCTCTGGATGTTGTAGGACTGTCTTGGCTGACACGTCTCTGCAACATCGCGTGGCGATCGGGGGCAGTGCCAATGGAGTGGCAGACCGGGGTGGTGGTCCCTCTCTACAAGAAGGGGGACCGGAGGGTGTGTTCCAATTATCGTGGGATCACACTCCTCAGCCTCCCCGGTAAGGTCTACTCCAGGGTACTGGAGAGGAGGTTACGGCCGATGGTCGAATCTCGGATCCAGGAGGAGCAGTGTGGTTTTCGTCCCGGTCGCGGAACACTGGACCAGCTCTATACTCTCCATCGGATACTCGAGGGTTCATGGGAGTTCGCCCAACCTGTCCACATGTGTTTTGTGGATTTGGAGAAGGCGTTCGACTGTGTTCCCCGGGGTGTCCTTTGGGGGGTTCTCCGGGAGTACGGGGTCGGGGGTCCTCTGCTGAGGGCCATTCGATCCCTGCATGACCGGAGCCAGAGCTGTGTTCGCATTGCCGGCAGTAAGTCAGACCTGTTCCCGGTGAATGTTGGCCTCCGACAGGGCTGCCCTTTGTCACCGGTTCTGTTCACTGTATTTATGGACAGAATATCTAGGCGCAGCCAGGGGTCGGAGGGGGTCCGGTTCGGAGACCACAGGATTTCATCTCTGCTGTTTGCGGACGATGTTGTCCTGTTGGCTCCAACGAACCAGGACCTGCAACATGCGCTGGGGCGGTTTGCAGCCGAGTGTGAAGCGGCTGGGATGAGAATCAGCACCTCCAAATCTGAGGCCATGGTGCTCGACCGGAAAAAGGTGCCTTGCCCTCTGCAGGTGGGTGGAGAGGTCCTTCCTCAAGTGGAGGAGTTCAAGTATCTCGGGGTCTTGTTCACGAGTGAGGGAAGAATGGAGCGTGAGATTGACAGGCGGATCGGTGCAGCGTGCGCAGTGATGCGGTCGCTGTATCGGACCGTTGTGGTAAAGAGGGAGCTGAGCCGAAAGGCAAAGCTCTCGATTTACCGGTCAATCTTCGTTCCCTCCCTCACCTATGGTCATGAGCTTTGGGTAATGACCGAAAGAACGAGATCGCGGATACAAGCGGTCGAAATGAGCTTCCTCCGCAGAGTGGCTGGGCGCTCCCTTAGAGATAGGGTGAGGAGCTCAGTCACACGGGAGGAGCTCGGAGTAGAGCCACTGCTTCTCCACGTCGAGAGGAACCAGTTGAGGTGGCTCGGGCATCTGTTCCGGATGCCTCCTGGACGCCTCCCTGGGGAGGTGTTCCGGGCACGTCCCACCGGGAGGCGGCCCCGCGGAAGACCTAGGACACGCTGGAGGGACTATGTCTCTCAGCTGGCCTGGGAACGCCTTGGGGTCCCCCCGGACGAGCTGGAGGAAGTGTGTGTGGATAGGGAAGTCTGGGCGTCTCTGCTTAGACTGCTGCCCCCGCGACCCGACAACGGATAAAGCGGAAGAAAATGGATGGATGGATGGATGGATGGATAATGACTGCAGGGTACAACAGAGACTCTATTTTCTGTATAGATTGAGACTTTTTGGAGTTGAACTGAAAATAATGATCTTATTCTATCATGCTGTGATTGAGAGTGTTATGTGATGTGTGTGTGTGTGTGTGTGTGCCTCTCTCTGTCTTTGTCTCTGTGTGTGTCTGTGTCTCTCTGTGTCTATGTCTCTCTCTGTCTTTGTCTCTGTGTGTCTGTGTCGCTGTGTCTCTGTGTGTGTGTCTGTGTCTCTCTGTGTCTGTGTCTCTCTGTGTCTATGTCTCTCTCTGTCTTTGTCTCTGTGTGTCTGTGTCGCTGTGTCTCTGTGTGTGTGTCTGTGTCTCTCTGTGTCTGTGTCTCTCTGTGTCTGTGTCTCTCTGTGTCTATGTCTCTCTCTGTCTTTGTCTCTGTGTGTCTGTGTCGCTGTGTCTCTGTGTGTGTGTCTGTGTCTCTCTGTGTCTGTGTCTCTCTGTGTCTATGTCTCTCTCTGTCTTTGTCTCTCTCTGTCTTTGTCTCTGTGTGTCTGTGTCGCTGTGTGTCTGTGTCGCTGTGTCTCTGTGTGTGTGTCTGTGTCTCTGTGTGACTCTGTGTCTATGCCTCTCTCTGTCTGTGTCTCTATGTGTGTGTGTCTCTATGTGTGTGTGTGTGTGTGTCTGTCTCTGTGTGTGTGCGTCTGTGTCTCTCTCTGTGTCTGTGTCTCTCTGTGTGTGTCTCTGTGTCTCTATGTGTGTGTGTGTGTGTGTCTGTGTCTCTGTGTCTGTCTGTGTCTCTGTGTGTTTGTGTCTCTGTGTGTGTCTCTCTCTGTGTGTGTCTGTCTCTCTGTGTGTGTCTGTACATTTGACGGCTATAACAACAGCAGTACTTTACAGATTGGTGCGCACAGGTTAAGGTTTTCATGGTGTGGATGTTGTTATTTTGTACTTTGGTTTTATTTTGACATTTGTTCTCTGTGGGTTGGTTTTAGTTTTACTTCCTCTCCTGGTTCCTCTGTCTCGATTGTCTGCCCTGATGTGTTTCACTTCTGTCTCTCTGTGTCTATATGTACTGTACCTGTGTCTATATGTACCTGTGTCTCTCTGTGTCTATATGTACTGTACCTGTGTCTATATGTACCTGTGTATCAATTTTCCTATGGGGCAAAATAAAAGAATCTAATCTAAATCTAAAAATGAATCGAATCTAGACACAACGCAGCAATTTTTACATAATAACTAACAGTAGCATCTTTACCTGAGTGTGCAGTGGTCTGTAGTGAAGCCCCCGCAGCAGCCTCTCCACAGCCTCCTCATCCAGGCTGTGGTGGTCATGGTGGTCATGGTGCTCCTGGTGCTCCTGGTGCCCTGGGTGGTCATGGTGCTCCTGGTTTTCTGTGTGCTTGTGTCCGCTGTGGGTGATCTCCTGCAGGAAACGTTCTGTGGCTTCTTTCCACTCCCCTCGTTTTATCGCCGAACAAACCGGTCCCGGGGATCTGAAGTAGAAGACCGCGGCCGCTGCCACAAATGTAAACTCCTCGGCGTTTATGTTCGAGGCGTTTCCATCCTCACGGTTGGCGGTTATCAGCTGTTGAATGGCATCTGCTGGACTGCACTGAGGAGCAGAGCAAATACAAAACAAACTGTTGTGAGATGTGATATGAGAGCGAGAGCTGGGGATTATCTACATTTAGAAATATAGATAATAATTATTATTTTGTAAAGACATGCTGATTAGGAACAAAAAGGACAAGGCTGCATACATGTTTTATATTTGTCTAATGAACAATACACTGGATACTGTCATTGGGAAACTAAAGTGGAGGTGAGAATATACAGTACATCATTTATATGGACACACAGTCAAACTTAAAGCTGGGGTACCTGACTTTCAAAACCACAAATACTACTTTAGAAAATCAGTCTAACAAGATCCTGGAGGTGGAGGTTTTTTTAGCTTTTTCTGTAAGTAAGTAAGTAAGTAATCTTTATTTATATACCGCCTTTTCACTGCAGATCTGAGTCTCAAAGCGGTTTACAATTGTTAATTTTTGGGCATTTGTCTCTCACTCCACACAGAGATGGGAGCGGGGTCGCCAGTACAGGAGACGCATGCTAGAACTATTGGACATATTTTTAGTGGTAGGGGAAACCGGAGTACCCGGAGGAAACCTACGCAGACACGGGGAGAACATGCAAACTCCACTCAGAAAGGCCCTGGTCCGACTGGGATTCGAACCCAGGACCTTCTTGCTGAGAGGCTGACACATCTCTTCTTGGAGCCAAAAAGTATACCTCCAGTCTCTCTCTGGTCTCTCTCTCCGGTCTCTCTCTGGTCTCTCTCTCCGGTATCTCTGCATGGTCTCTCAACTGGTCTCTCTCCGGTCTCTCTCTCCGGTTTCTCCCTCTGGTTTCTCCCTCTGGTTTCTCCCTCCGGTCTCTCTCTCTGGTCTCTCTCTGGTCTCTCTCCGGTCTCTCTCTCTCTGGTCTCTCTCTGATCTCTCTCTGGTCTCTCTCCGGTCTCTCCCTCTGGTCTCTCTATGGTCTCTCTCTCTGGTTTCTCTCTCCGGTCTCTCTCTGGTCTCTCTCTCTGATCTCTCTCTGGTCTCTCTCTGGTCTCTCTCCGGTTTCTCCCTCTGGTCTCTCTCTGGTCTCTCTCTGGTCTCTCTCTGGTCTCTCTCTGGTCTCTCTCTGGTCTCTCTCCGGTTTCTCCCTCTGGTCTCTCTCTGATCTCCCTCTGGTCTCTCTCCGGTCTCTCTCCGGTCTCTCCCTCTGGTCTCTCTCTGGTCTCTCTCTGGTCTCTCTCTGGTCTCTCTCTGATCTCCCTCTGGTCTCTCTCCGGTCTCTCTCCGGTCTCTCTCCGGTCTCTCCCTCTGGTCCCTCTCTGGTCTCTCTCTGGTCTCTCTCTGGTCTTTCTCTGGTCTTTCTCTGGTCTTTCTCTGGTCTCCCTCTGGTCTCTCTCTCTGGTCTCTCTCCAGTCTCTCCCTCTGGTCTCTCTCTGGTCTCTCTCTGGTCTTTCTCTGGTCTTTCTCTGGTCTCTCTCTAGTCTCTCTCCGGTCACTCTCAAATCAACATCTTTGTAGCGTCCTCTGAGATACTACTGTTGTGATTTATCTGGTCGATACTAGTAGAGGGCCACCATTTCTCAGCCAATCAGCTCTCAGCCCAAAGCATAATTTACCACAACTTTCTTTCTTACAAGTTTTCAAAGGATGAACTGTGTTTTAGGAAGATGACGACATGGTCTGATTTGTCCAAAGAATGTCCTTTTACAAGATCAATGGGATAAAGTAAATGTTGTCTATCCAAAAAAGCTTTAATTTACTAAAACCTTTAACTCTTCAGGTTCCTGTCTTGTTTAATTTATGTGAGCCTCGTGTGTCCAAAAAACTTTGTTACTGTTTTAAGACCCAATAAATGTATCAGGCTGAAGTGTTTAGGATGATTGTATCGATAGAATGTTATAGGGTTATTGCCCACGCATTATGTCATTTTCTAGAAGGTTCAGTTATTACCAGGATTACACTCACTATCACACTTTATATATTCATAAAGGCATAAAGGAAAGTGGAGGGAGAAGCGGGCGGCTTGACTTCCTCTGGGTCAGCTCAGGGGCAGCGCTTTCACCTTTGGAATGAGATAAGAAGCCACTCTTACTTAAAGTCACTGCTGTTGCTGGCTTCATATACTTTTACTTTTTGGATCTTCCGTTTTTATCTAAATTAGATCTAATTCACTGTTTTAAAAGTATTTCAGATTGTGAAATCTCCATCTCATGAATATCAGCTTGTGTTTTTAGACTGAACAAGTCGAGTCTATAAACTTAATAGTACTTAGAGATTTACAATGACTGAAACAAATAATAAAAAACTATGTCAGAAATACAGAAGTACAGAAACTGTTGAGGCTGTGTAGAGTAAGAGTAAGAGTTTACAGTTCCATTATCTCCCACTGCTACAGGACTTTCTGAAGTTCAAAAAGTTATGAAATCACAGTTTTATCAATGGGGCCTTTCACTGGTTATCAGGGTTTGGACCTCGACCCCTGCTGCTCAGACTGATCCTGAGGATGCTCCTGCATCTGTGCAGCCTCAGGTCCAATAAAAACTTACCTTTTCACACGGCACTTCGGTGCACTGCACACGGGCCTGCAGTGTATTAAAGACAGTGCGCACCGCGGGGCCGGACAGAAGCGTCTCTCCAGGGGCCACAGCGCTCACCACGTCCCGGGATAGCTGCTGCACCGCGGGGGAGCCGTACACACAGAGGCTCAGGACGGACAGGAGCACTGCAGCTGAAGAGGAGGGCAT